CTGATGGCAATCGAAGATGGTGTCCGGATTCTCCACATTGATTACGAGATTACTTGTTGGAATACCCGAAATTTTCCGCTTCAACAAAAGATAAACTTAATCAATACCGATAGTAGAAAAGGCATGAAGACACACAAAGATCTCAACAGAATAATCTCAGCGAGAGAGAGAGAGAGAAAGAGAGAGAGAGAGAGACATGAAGAAAGGCAGTGTTGCGGCTAGGGTTAGGAAATGAAGGGAGGAGAGAGATAGAGAGAAATGTGAGGGAGAGAGAATATGGTTTTATATGAGTATTCAACCTTTTGGAGTCCTATCAGGTGCGGAAGGTACAAGGTACCAATTTCAAATAACCAGTCAAGCCTTGCCACATGTAAATTACCCTAATAAAAAACTTCCTTCTACCTATGATGGAACTCATGATCCCACAATACCATATGATGGAAGATCTACCTAGACCTACCTAGATCCAACAACTACACCTCCACAGAAAATAGATCCAAAGGAGATCTACCAAGATCTACCACCAAACCTCATCAAGAACACATACAACAATGGTCCAAAGGTGGGAGATCTAGCCAAAATCATAACAACAAGCTAAGAGGCAGCCCCAAAAAATAAGGGTGAGACACGGAGAATAAGAGGCAGACATGGGTCTAGGTTGAGAGAGGGCATAGTTTTTGGGAGAAGAAGAGAAAAAAGCCTCCTTTTGGACGAGTTTTCTATAGGGAGATATGAAATTGCCCAACCAATCAAGCCCAACATTCAAACATCAAACACTTGAACAATCAAAAGAACTAATACCAATAAACAAAAAGAAAATTAGAAGAACAAGAAAGCTATGAAACCCACATTCTTTTTTTTCTTCCTTTTCTGGGTATTATACAAAATATATCAGTTCCATGAGAAATGAGGTACCTTTAGCAGGAGTCATTACTCTAAGCTCTGTGATAAACAATCCTACCTGACAAGCATTAAAAAAAAAATAGAAAACAAGGATAAACTTAATCAATACCGATAGTAGAAAAGGTAGGAAGACACACAAAGATCTCAAAATAATAATCTCAGCGAGAGAGAGAGAGAGAGAGAGAGAGAGAGAGAGAGAGAGACATGAAGAGAGGCAGTGTTGCAGCTAGGGTTAGGAAGGTACATGGCACCAATTTCAAATAACCAGTCAAGCCTTGCCACATGTAAAATAAATTAAACAAATAAAAAACTGATTTGTAATCTGTCCGATTAATTGTATTAATTTCTTGGTGTTTATCCAGCATGGAGGAGATGACATGTCCTTTCGGGATACATGATATGGAGTCCTATCATTAAGAATGAGAAGGTAAGCCTAAGAGTGCTTAGATAATTCAAATTATAAATTGAACAAATACATTCTCCTAATAACCTTAAGATTACCAATCCTCTTGAGGCAATCAATTGGGTCCATGCAAATCCTTACATCACCCGGGGGTTACCAATCCCCTGGAGACATTCAATTGGATTCATGCCGATCCCAACATCACCCTGAGGTTACCAATCCTCTTGGGGCAATCAATTGGGTCCATGCCGATCCCTACATCACCCGGAGGTTACCAATCCTCTGGTGAAAATCAATTGGATCCATGCTGATCCCAACATTACCTTGAGGTTACCAATCCTCTTGGGGCGATCAATTGGGTCCATGTCGATCCCTACATCACCCCGGGGGTTACCAATCCCCAGTGGACAATCAATTGGATCCATGTTGTTCCCAACATCACCCTGAGGTTACCAATCCTCTTGGGGCAATCGATTGGGTCCATGCCGGTCCCTACATCACCCAGGGGTTACCAATCCCCTTGGGGCAATCAATTGGATCCATGTTGTTCCCAACATCATCCTGAGGTTACCAATCCTCTTAAGGCGAATCGGGTGATTAATTGGGTCCATGCCATCCCTACATCACCCGGGGGGTTACCAATCCCTTGAGGGCAATCAATTGGATCTATGCTAATCTCAAAATCACCCTGAGGTTACCAATCCTCTAGGGGCGATTAATTGGGTCCATGCTGATCCCTACATCACCTCAGGGTTACCAATCCCCTGGGGGCAATCAATTGGATCCATGTTGTTCCCAACATCATCCTGAGGTTACCAATCCTCTTAAGGCGAATCGGGTGATTAATTGGGTCCATGCCATCCCTACATCACCCGGGGGGTTACCAATCCCTTGAGGGCAATCAATTGGATCTATGCTAATCTCAAAATCACCCTGAGGTTACCAATCCTCAAGGGGCGATTAATTGGGTCCATGCTAATCCCTACATCACCTCAGGGTTACCACCCCCCTTGGGGCAATCAATTTGATCCATGATGATCCCAACATCACCCTGAGGTTACCAATCCTCTTGGGGCAATCAATTGGGTCCATGTCGATCCCTACATCACCCTGGGGGTTACCAATCCCCTGAGGGCAATCAATTGGATCCATGTTGATCCCCACATCACCCTGAGGTTACCAATCCTCTTGGGGCAATCAATTGGGTCCATGTCGATCCCTACATCACCCTGGGGGTTACCAATCCCCTGAGGGCAATCAATTGGATCCATGTTGATCCCAACATCACCTTGAGGTTACCAATCCTCTAGAGACAATCAATTGAATCCATGAAGATCTCTACATCACCTTAGGGGTTACCATCCCCCTTGGGGCAATCAATTGGATCCATGTTGATCCCCACATCACCCTGAGGTTACCAATCCTCTTGGGGCGATCAATTGGGTCCATGTTGATCCCTACATCACCCTGGGGGTTACCAATCCCCTAAGGGCAATCAATTGGATCCATGCCGATCCCAACATCACCCTAAGGTTACCAATCCTCTAAGGGCAATCAATTGAGTCCATGCCGATCCCTACATCACCCTGGGGTTACCAATCCCCTTAAGGCAATTAATCGGATCCATGCCAATCCTTACATCATCTCGAAGTTATCAATCTTCTGGAGCCCATCAATCGGATCCTTAGTTGATCCTAATCAATTGGATCCTTTGCCGATCCCAACCAAAGTTCACCAAATTTGACGATACATATCACAACTCAAGGACTTGTGGATCAATAATTTCTCAACGTGATGCTTTACTCAGGAATCTTTGCTTAATTGTGGTCAAAAGGTAACAAACTTTGTTTGCTTCTAAATTCCAAAATTTATATTTCCTCATGTTCATTAGTTAACAAATGTATTTATTATATTACTTGACACCTCTTGAAATCTCACATGGAACGAATTCCCACAATGAACATTTTCTCTCTCCACACCCGAGAACAAACAGTGACTGAAGAGAGAAAAAAGGGCATGTGTGGGAGCAAATTTTACTCCATAAGCAATAACCCATTACTCATGCATCCTAAACTTGGGGGAATGGAGAAAATCAAGTAACATGACATCCATTATCCTGAGTCATGGAGAAAAATGTGGAATGTGGGAGTTGGAGCCCAAGACTCCACTGCCTATAAAAGGCCAATTAACACAACATCCCGAGGAGTGGAGAAAATGAGGTACAATATTCTAAACTCTCCTACGATTGTACTCATACTGACTTGAGCGTCGGAGTGTATTCTTACAGGTACCCCTCTCCTTCACTGATGGCAATCGAAGATGGTGTCCGGCTTCTCAACATTGATTACGAGATTACTTGTTGGAATACCCGAAATTTTCCTCTCCAACAAACGATGAACTTAATCAATACCCATAGTAGAAAAGGCATGAAGACACACAAAGATCTCAAAAGAATAATCTCAGCGAGAGAGAGAGAGAGAGAGAGAGAGAGAGAGAGAGAGATGAAGAGAGGCAGTGTTGCGGCTAGGGTTAGGAAACGAAGGGAGGAGAGAGACAGAGAGAAACGCGAGGGGAGATAATGTGGTTTTATATGAGTATTCAACCTTTTGGAGTCCTATCAGGTGCGAAAGGTACATGGTACCAATTTCAAATAACCAGTCAAGCCTTGCCACATGTAAATTACCCTAATAAAAAACTTCCTTCTACCTATGATGGAACTAACGATCCCACAATACCATATGATGGAAGATATACCTAGACCTACCTAGATCAAACAGCTACACCTCCACAGAAAATAGATCCGAAGGAGATTTACCAAGATCTACCACCAAACCTCATCAAGAACACATACAACAATGGTCTAAAGGTGGGAGATCTAGCCAAAATCAGAACAACAAGCTAAGAGGCAGCCCCAAAAATAAGGGTGAGACACGGAGAATAAGAGGCAAACAGGGGTCTGGGTTGAGAGAGGGCATAGTTTTTGGGAGAAGAAGAGAAAAAATCCTCCTTTTGGACGAGTAATCTATAGGGAGATATGAAATTGCCCAACCAATCAAGCCTAGCATTCAAACATCAAACACTTGAACAATCAAAAGAACCAATACCAATAAAGAAAAAGAAAATTAGAAGAATGAGAAAGCTATGAAACCCACATTCTTTTTTTCCTTCCTTTTCTGGGTATTATACAAAATATATCAGTTCCATGAGAAATGAGGTACCTTTAGCAGGAGCCATTACTCTAAGCTCTGTGATAAACAATCCTACCTAACAAGCATTAAGAAAATAAAAAACAAGGATAAACTTAATCAATACCGATAGTAGAAAAGGCAGGAAGACACACAAAGATCTCAAAAGAATAATCTCAACGAGAGAGAGAGAGAGAGAGAGAGAGAGAGAGAGAGATGAAGAGAGGCAGTGTTGCGGCTAGGGTTAGGAAACGAAGGGAGGAGAGAGACAGAGAGAAACGCGAGGGAGAGAGAATATGGATTTATATGAGTATTCAACCTTTTGAAGTCCAATCAGGTGCGAAAGGTACATGGTACCAACTTCAAATAACCAGTCAAGCCTTGCCACAAATAAAAAACTTATTTATAATTTGTTCGATTAATTGTATTAATTTATTGGTGTTTGTCCAGCATGGAGGAGATGACATGTCCTATTTCGGGATGCATGATTTGGAGTCCTATCATTAAGAATGAGAAGGTAAGCCTAGAAGTGCTTAGATAGTTCAAATTATAAATTGAATAAATACATTCTCCTAATCACCCTGAGGTTACCAATCCTCTTGGGGCGATCAATTGGGTCCATGTCAATCCCTATATCACCCGGGGGTTATCAATCCCGTGGAGGCAATCAATTGGATTCATGTCGATCCCAACATCACCTCGAGGTTACCAATCCTCTTGGGGCAATCAATTGGGTTGCCCTACATCACCCAAGGATTACCAATCCCCTAGAGGCAATCAATTTGGGTCCATGACGATCCCTACATCACCCCAGGGGTTACGAATCCCGTTGAGGCAATCAATTGGATCCATGAAGATCCCAACATCTCCCTGAGGTTACCAATCCTCTGGGGTGATCAATTGGGTCTCTGCCGATCCCTACATTACCCTAGGGGTTACCAATCCCCTCGGTTGCGCCTACAAATGCTAGCACAAGATTGACCAAAACTTCTATGCCATCAAGATGATCCCAATCGGTAGTCTAAACGACATGAGCTTTGAGACAGTCATTAAGTATTTGACTTTTTAAAAAAATATTATTGTGATTATGTGCACTTATTTTAAATCATGCTTGGATTGTTTAGGGAAGTTCATGCGCTGTGCAAGCTTGAACATTCCAATGTCATCCGTTTTTACAGGGTGAGCAATCAATCCTAATTTAATCAAGTAAATATTTTTACATAAATGTATTAAGAAATTAACATATGTTTGTCTATCAATTTCTTTTTTTCTGAAATCTAGTCATGGGTAAAGCCACCTACTTTGGGGATTTCTGGAGAGAGGTCATCACAACACCCTGATGTTCCCCATGTTTACATTCAATAGGAACTTTGTGAAAGGTATAAAGAAAATTAATTGTTGTGTCACTAAGTTGATTTGTGATTCTAATATATAGTTTTATTATGTGGCAAACATATCTATAGAAGATTTGTTGCGTGATAATGGAAAATTGGATAAGAAAACATACTGGAATATTTCCATGGGTATCATGCAAAGCTTGGTATATCTCCATGGAAAAGGATTCATCCATGGTGATTTATTGCCTTGCAACGTGTTCCTCATGCATGATGGAGAAGCAAAGCTGGGTGATTTTGGATGTGGTGAGTATTGAGTAAGTAACAAGTGCATTAGTGCATGACGTTAGCTGATTTTGAATTAATGTATGTGGTAACTAATTTAAAAATCCTTGATTTGCAGCTCAATGCTTTGATGTTGAGGGTGAGATAAAGGACTTGAAAGGTGCTAAAGATATAATAGTGGAGATGCTGTAAGCAGTAGATCCGAAGTTGAAGAATGACTTGAAAAGAACAGCCAAAACGAGTTTTGAGGGCCTGTGGTACAAGAACTCATCCATCATAGCATTAAAGCTATTGCAAAAGATGCGTTTGAATTTGCAAATTTGAGCACAAATCGGAGAGCTGCAATAGATTTAGGGTCCTCTCACACCTCTTCTTCCGCTCCAACTTCTACTTCTTCCTCAAATTGTCAAACTGTTGCTCGAATTATCAGCTGGTTATTGTGCGCACGCTTGAGACATTGCTCAAGGGCAGTACAGAAGTCCAATATTTGAATACTGTTCTCAAAGTTCCTCTACAAGAGAGAACATTTCTTTATTGTTGCATATATCCTTCTTGCATTCTAGAATGACTTTAACCACTTCCTTCCAGGTTCATTTTAAGCAAATAATCAATAACCTATTTCAGTGTATATAGACCAAACTTTGAGTCTTCAGTAACCTCTTCCAATGGAGAGTGAGGTGATGACACGGCTTGTGCGCTATTGGAAAGTGGCATCAAATGACTGTAATGCTGCCTCATATGAGCTCAAGAGATTGTTGGGGGGGAGAGGTGGCGGTGATGATTGTGCTTAGGCATCAACACCCTTGTTTTTACTGGATTTTGCTCCCATCATTTGGGTCCAAAAATTTCCCGAAAACCAAACTACGGCTAACTACCAAAAATGATAATTTATTTTCCTCTTTCTTGTCTTCAATGAACTTGGAAAGAGCTCAAAAGATTTTAAATCTACCAAAGGCTTGAAAATGCAACTTACCAAGTGCTCTCAATGCAAAGAAATACTGGGAAAGTTACGAAATCCAGTCAAATCTAGTCGATGAGTAAGTTGAAGTACCAAAAATTATCCAAAGACGTGGACTTTGGTTAGATCCTGTTAATGGGCGAATTTGTACATAATGAATTAAGACATAATCACACACATAACACAAGTGTTTAAGTGGTTCACTCATAATGGGGCTACATTCACTATAGCTTATAGTTTTGTATTTGTATTTGAATATGGAGATAGGCTTGAGAGCCTTTACAAATGGAAGAGGAGAGAGATCTGGAGGAAAAGAGAGAGTTGCCAAGAGCATTCTTCTCTTGGCTCCCTGTCTTTTTTGGGGTCCCCCTTTCAGCAAGAGGAGAGAGTCCCTTTTGTAAGAGAACAACAACTGACTTCTCTCTTTGGGCTTACCGACGTGGCAGCCCATTAGAGGCCCACCCAAGTGAGGTAAAACCGTGTGTCAACAGAAGCCCCAAGTTCACAGTCGAAAATAGCTTCTTGGCTGGGGACTTTCAAGTAAGACCAGTGTTTGGCCGAGCCGAGCATATATTTGTTAGAGGTAGTGAGGCCGAGCCGAGCACATATATGAAGATATAATTTTCTTTATCTTGCTTTGACTATGGTGGTACAAGGTGGAAGGGGTGCCGAGCTGAGCACACATATGGAGATAATAAGGCCGAGCCGAACACATATGTGAAGATATAATAAGGCCGAGCCAAACACATATATGAATAAAAGGCCGAGCCGAGCACATGTATGGAGATAATATTTTCCCTCTCTTTAAGCATGGCGAGATATATTGGAGATGGTGTGGCTGAGCCGAGCTCATATATGAAGATATAATTTTCCCTCTCTTTAAGCATGGCAAGATATATTGGAGATGGTGTGGCTGAGCCGAGCTCAAATATGAAGATAGCAAGGTCAAGCCAAGCAAATATCACATAATGTTGTGATGATGGTGTTGTATGTAAGGACTTGATGACGATGAATGCCATTGATGAAAATGTATGCCATGCCACAATGGCTATGTATGTAGTTTCATGGTGGCGATGTATGCCATGTAATGATGGCGATGTATGCCATGTCATAATGGCAATGTATGTCGTGTCATGGTTGCCATGTGTGCCATGAAATAACGGCGATGTATGACATGCAATGATGGTGATGTATGCCATGTCATAATGGCAATGTACGTTGTGTCATGGTTGCCATGTATGCCATGAAATGACGGTGATGTATGCCATGTAATGATGGCGATGTAATAGAGTTGTATATATGTTATGACATGAAGGTACGATGATAATGCACACTAATTGGTAATTTATATAATAATAGGTATGTGTAATCCCTTACTTGCGGCATCGAGATAGTCATCATTCGTGCTTAATTGAGCACACGTGTGGTGATATAATTTTCCTTGTCTCTCTTTGGCCATGGTGGGATAAGGTGGAAATAGTGAGGTCAAGCCGAGCTCACATATGAAGCTAATATTCCTTCTCTCTTTGACCATGGTGGGACAAGGTGGAGAGAGTACCAAGCCGGCCATAATGGATAATGTAACATGAAGGTGGTTTGACCAATCCCACGCAACTTCACTGAATAGCACCTATGTTGGGGGCAACCATGGGACCTGGTCGATGACGGTGGTAAGGTCTGGTGGGCAGCAATGAGACTAGGTTGGCAACAATGGTGAGGTCTGGTCGGAATCGAGGAGTGACAGAGGCGAAGCTCGGTGGTCGATGGAAACGAGCCCATTTTGCTGTCACGCTTGGTGGTCGGGTTGGCCATGTAAGGTGGCAGGCGACCATGCAAAGTGGTCGGTGCTCATCCACGATGGTCGGGTCTTCCATGCAAGGTGGTCGACGCTCATCCATGGTGATGGGGTCAGCCATGCAAGGTGGATGGTGACCATGCAGAGTGGTTGGCGCTCATCCATGGTGGTCGAGTCTGCCATACAAGGTGGCGGGCAACCATGCAGAGTGGTCGGCGCTCATCCACGGTGGTCGGGTTGGCCATGCAAGGTGGAAGGCAACCATGCAAGGTGGTCGGCGCTAGTGGCGGATCCAAGAATTTTTCAGGAGAGGGGCAATAATGATTTTGGTACTGCCCAAGGACTGAATAAAAAACATATTATGAAAACCAGACCCTTAGTTAATTTTAAGATTGATTAGCACGATAAAATAAATACAAAATTAATAATAAAAACATATTATCACAGCAAAAAGATTAGATCAACAAACAAGTAGTATCAATCAAGTCCTAATTAAACAAAAACTCTAATATCAAATGGTGATTTGAGAGCATTGTGCAAGGCTTCTTCGTTGTTTTCTTTTTTTGTTTTTTTTTTTTACGGATGGGTAAGCCTTTTGGTATTACATTATTATAATGAAATATTTATTATAACAACCAAGTAAATGAAGCAAGACAATGAATCTTGAAACGGTTGCACCAAAACCGAAGAGTTTGATTTTTTTTTTTTTAACACTTCATTGAAACACGCGTTTCATTAAACGTAAATGAAGGACAACGCCGTTTGTAACAAATAAAAATAGAGTTGTCTTCTTCATTCGTGAACCAGAGCCTCCATCAGCGACACACCTCTGCAACTCCTCTGCAACATAGCGCGTGCCTCAATCATGTAACTTGCCATACGAGTGGTGCCTTGATGCGATTTCAGGAGGCCTCAAATTGTCGCACTCCATGAGGTGCGCCTTGATAATACCTTTTAAAACGCTAGAGAGCAAAGGGGCAAATCCAGCACATCCATGGTTTTTTTTCTGCCATTATCATGATTTTGAGCCGAAAGCATGCTATGGTTTATCTCTGTCTTCTTTCTTTCCAGAAATATTCGAACTTGAAGATGGAGCTGAGTAAAGCATGACAAACAGAGTATACGATAACATGTGCATTCAAGAGTAAATACAAAGCAATGGAATCCAATGCATACAATCTCCAGCTCAGCAATACATGTAAAACTTTATGGCTTCAAGTTTTGTTATGTATGAGTCATGACACGGAGGGGTTTAGAGTACTTGGGTTTTTTATTAAGGACTTAGCCATACTTGATCGATAATACAATGAATGAACTTTATTCTTAGCACAAAACAAAAAGAAGAAGGTGGTTTTAGTCTAGATAAATCTGTCACGCGCCCTTAAATAAATCTGACTATACCTTTTCTTGAAGGTAAAGTATATATACCCTTTCTCTTTTGCTACGAATACATGTAAAACTTCATGGCTTCCACTTTTGTGGCTTGCGGGTTATCATTGTTTTCCACAGGATGGAATGTAGGAGGGAGAACCTACCCATTGAGCCTTTGGATCCATATTCAAAGGTTAGAGCTTATATAATCCATCGTACTAAAGTTATTTTCTGCCATTATCATGATTTTGAGCCGAAAGCATGCTATGGTTTATCTCTGTCTTCTTTCTTTCCAGAAATATTCGAACTTGAAGATGGAGCTAAGTAAAGCATGACAAACAGAGTATACAATAACATGTGCAGTCAAGAGTAAATACAAAGCAATGGAATCCAATGCATACAATCTCCAGCTCAGCAATACATGTAAAACTTTATGGCTTCAAGTTTTGTTATGTATGAGTCATGACACGGAGGGGTTTAGAGTACTTGGGTTTTTTATTAAGGACTTAGCCATACTTGATCGATAATACAATGAATGAACTTTATTCTTAGCACAAAACAAAAAGAAGATGGTGGTTTTAGTCTAGATAAATCTGTCACGCGCCCTTAAATAAATCTGACTATACCTTTTCTTGAAGGTAAGTATATATACCCTTTCTCTTTTGCTACGAATACATGTAAAACTTCATGGCTTCCAGTTTTGTTATGTATGAGTCAGTGGCGATTCCAGGATTCGAAAGCCAACCGGGCAAAACTTATATAACAAACTGGACAAAACAAGTGAATTTCATTAATAAACATAAATAAAAAAATTACATAGTGAGAGGAGACGTAATAAGCCTTACCCTCAAATGCATTTATATCTATAAATACAAAAATTAAAATAAAAACCAAAAGAAAAATTAAAAGAAAAAAATAGAAAAAAAAAATATTTTACATTAAAAAGAAAGATAAAATAGGGGACTACATTAATTTTAAAAAAAAACTAGATTGATTTCCAGAGAAATGGGAAGGAAGAAAATTGGCGGAGCTGGGTTTTTTTTTTTAACCAGTTGTGACCTCATTTCTCCCCTTATTTCCTTTTATAAACGTTTATTATGACATCCGTTTTTAGCTTTCCACCTCGAGCTCTATAGCCCTATCAATCATGTTTCGTAATTTCCGAAATAGTTATCTTTGTGCAAGACAAAGTTTTTTTAATAATCATAAGTAATGTAGGTAATATTTTTCTAACAAAAAAAGAGAAGGAAAAGGAAGAAATAAGAAAGGGAGAGAAGAAGAGAGAGAGAAGAGAGAGAGGAGAGAGGAGAGAAGATGGAAGAAAAAGAACGGAAAAAAAAAAAAGAAAAAAAAAAAGAGGAGGGATGAGAGAAGGAAAAGAAAGAAAAAAAAAATAGGGAGAGAAGAGAGAATGAAAACAACGGAAAAAAAGAGAGATAGAGAGGCGAGAAGGAAAAGAATATAAAAAAAAAAAGGAGAGAGGGGAGTGTAAGGAAAAGAATTATTTTTAAAAAAAAAAAAGGAGAAAGGAGAGAGATGAGAGTGTAAGTAATATTTTTTTAACAAAAATTTGGGCTGGGCAAAAGAGAAGAGAGGAGAGAGAAAAGTGTGGGTAATATTTATTTAACATATATTTGGGCCGGGCTTGAGCCCAACCTGCCATAGGCTGGAACCACCACTACTATGAGTCATGACACGGAGGGAGATTCTAACTTTAAACCTTTTCCAAGACCCACTACTGCACTGCATTTGTTGGTGATAGGGATATTTTGGGAATAAACAAATTATAGTAAATCAGACATTGAGCTTAATAAGGTAACTTGATAAGTTGGATCCTAGTCATGAGTTTTTACTTATAAAAATTGGGTATTATTTATAAGAACAAAAAAGTGAAGGGTTGTAGGTAATGCAAATTGAATTTGAGGGGTGTAAATCAAATTTACTATTTAATATATTATATAAACTTGTCTGTGTAGGAAATGCTAACAATACAGGAAAGAAGTCCTAATTACAATAGGAACTATACAAAAAGGAAAGTAAATACAACTTAGAATATAAAAATGGAAACTAAAATTACCTGCTCACAGAGGGAAAGATCTCTATATAAAGTCCCACAACTCAATTGGTTAATCCCATAACTTGCGAAGCTTTCTTTTTGAGATTCTTGAAACTTCAAATCAATCGCTCTCTAGTTTTCGTTGTTAAGTCTTGTGCATTCAATCTCTCACTCATGGAGAAATCAAAATCATCCCTTCATGCTCACGCTAACGGAGGTCTCACTACTGTTCTTTCTATTGATGGAGGTGGAATAAGAGGGATTATTCCAGGAGTTATGCTTGCATTCCTAGAGTCTACGCTTCAGGTAAAAAATCAAAACTAAAACTCTATTATGAGCAATTTATAATATCAAATTTTGTTCACCAAACAATATTACTTTCATTAAAATATGAGCCCGGTCTGCATTTTGTCACCAAGTGCTCCAAAATTTTATCATACCACATTACCACTGCATGCATGCCGCTATGTACATATATATTGCGTTATTTTGCTTCTTTTTTTTTTTCTGTAATCTAATACAACTAATTTTTACTTTACTTGTTTGCTATATGCAGAAGATAGATGGTAATGATGTAAGGCTTGTAGATTATCTTGATTGGATTGTAGGGACGAGCACAGGTGGCCTTATGGCGTCCATGCTTACTACACCAGATAAAAGTAATCGCCCCTTATATTCTGCTAAAGATATTGTCCCCTTTTATCGCCAACATTGCCCTAAGATCTTCCCCCAACCTAGGTACGTATAGTTAATTGTTGACAGAGAGTCTTGTACTGCGTACCTTTTATATGCATAACGAGTAACAATAATTAATTTTGATTCCTTGTACAGCAGCTCTCGCATTGGCAAAATCATACATTATTTGAAATGTTTAGTAGGGCCCAAATATAATGGGAAGTATTTACGTAAGCTGTTGAAGGAAATACTAGGAGACAAACATTTGCATGACATGTTGACTAATGTTGCAATCCCAACTACTGATATAAAGCAAGGATGTGCAGTTATTTTCTCCAGCCATAAGGTTTGTTTATTAATTATCTCCTAATTCGAACACATATGTGTATATAATTTTGATTCTTGGTTTTTCTCTTTTTGTAAATAATTCTTGATTTTGTGTATATATGTTGGTGATCATGATTTCAGTTGAAAAAGGATCCCAGCCTAGATGCTTTGATGTCGGATATATGTGTTGGAACTTCAGCAGCCCCAGCTTACCTTCCACCTCATCAATTTAATTCCACAACTTCAACAGGCAAATCAAGAGAATTCAATCTCATTGATGGTGGAATTGCTGCCAATAACCCGGTAATATTGATGTGACCCAATTTCAAAAACTTAATTTGCATTTGAATAATTCATATATATGATCATTAATTAATTTTTTACCCTTTTTTTTTTTCGTGGGTAGGCTGTGGTTGGTATAACCGAATCGGAAATAGACATGCACGAGGGCAACACTGGCATCCATGAGCGGGTCTTACTTATATCACTGGGGACTGGTATGACATCTGAGAAGAAGTACGATGCCAAAAAAGCAGCTTGTTGGGGTGCTCTGGATTGGCTGATCGGAAAAGATCGTTCGGCTCCACTGGTGGATCTTCTTATGAGAGTAAATAGTGACGTGAATGAGTACCTCAGTCGTTCCTTTTTTAAAGCTCTTCAGTCTAATGGCAATTACCTCCGAATTCAGGTAACACAATAAAATTGAGATAAATGTCAAGTGGTCGTTTATTTGTTTTTATGTTATGTATATGTACACAGAATCAAAATACATGCGCCTAAATTATGTACAAAACAAACTAAGCATGGAATTGGAAATGAATGCAGGACGATACACTAAGTGGAACATTGGCTTCTGTGGATATTGCCACAGAAGAAAACTTGAATGATCTTGTAAAAGTTGGAGAGGCATTGTTGAAGAAACCCGTTTCGAGATTGAATTTTGGTACCGGTAAACTCGAGCCTGTTCATCCTGAGGTTACAAATGAAGAGGCTCTCGTGAGGTACAAATTTGCTCTTTTATTCTCATTAAGTTGTGTAAATTCAATAAATTATCATACTGATTACTTTTGTTTTGTCCATTAATTTGCATGATCATGTAGGATGGCGAAAATTCTCTCTGAGGAGAGGGCTCGGAGGAAGAGACTGGTCGTTCACGAAAATGCTGCTCTGCTCTCACATAAGTCCTTGTAGTTATGTTTTTCGTTAAGAGAAATAAATAGCTCAATCATTTTTATTTATTTATTATTTCATGTAATTCAGTTCTGAAACTTATTTCTCCCAATGTTATGTATATATTTGTAACTGGGAAATTATTCAATTTATTCATGACGTGGCCAATGAAAGCAGCTTGAGTTGTTAAGTTTTCTTCTTCATTATGTTGTTGGAGTTTGTGTGCACTGATAAAGCACTATGAAATTAAAAACAAAAAACAAAAAGCACTTTGAAATTAATCCTTAGTAATGAACAGATCCTTGAGATTGAACTACTGCATCTGCAAAGAAGAACGAACCTATGATTGGCTTGCTGCATGAAAAAACTTGAACCAATTTGGATAACTTTTAACGAACGACTTTATCTTGTTGACCTATAGAAGAAGCCTACAAGGGGTATTCGAAATCATGTCTCATTTCAGGGTCCTTTTTATTTTTATTATTTTTTCAATGAATAGTATAGATATCTACTGGGATTTTTTTTTTTTTTTTAAATAATTATTTTTCCCTTATTTTCGTTTATCGATAAGAGTAACTTAGAGCATTATCTAGTACTATTGGCTATTACCCGAGTCTTCATTGCCCCTTTTCTGATTTTTGACTTTTTCAGAGTTATTACCCGTATAAAGAATTTAGCATTTTCCTGTTTAATACTCATATTATACATGTACGTATGTATTTTCAATAATACTTTCATTTTTTGTATATGTCTTAAAGACTTAGTAAAATGCACGTTTCTTTTTTCAAAGTAAACGTATTGTACATGTACGTATGTATTTTTCATGTTTAATACAAGTGTTACAAAAATAAATATAAACTTAATATCTTTAGGTCAATAAACTTTTTTTTTAATTTTCTTTTTGGTAATTAAATAATATCTAAGCATGATTTAATTACTTTCATTACTAATTATGTTTTAATTTTTATTTCTCTATTGAATAATTCCTATTAAATATTTTAATTAACTCCATAAATTATATTATTTAATAAATAGTAATTATTTTTTTCAATTTTTTCTTTAATAAAAGATTTAAATACTAATTATTCACTAAGTAAATAATAGTTAAAACATAACTACTAATTAAAGTAATTTAAAAAAGAAATCCAGGTTATTGTATTTAAAAGGTATAGCCGCGCGGCTATACCTTTACAATATTCTATTTATGGAGTATAGCCAAGCGGCTATACGTTCTTTTATTAAAAAATAATAATTATAATTGTCCAGCTAGGCGGCTAGGCGCTATGCGGGTCCCTTTTAAAAATAAATTTTAATAGAATAGCCGATCGGCTATACTGTTTATATATAATATTTAAAGAGTAAAGCCGTCCGGCTATACCAGTGTCATTTTTTATTTTATTTTAATAAATAAAATAGCCGCGCGGCCATACTCTTTAAATATATACCGAGATCCTTTTTTTAAAAAATAATTATTTTTCCAAACAAATCAATACAAGTCTATATATTTAAAAGGTATAGCCTCACAGCTATATTATTTAAAATAATATATTTAAATAGTATAGTTGTGCGGCTATACCTTTTAAAATAATTAAAGATGGCCAATGATAGGAGAACAATAAAAAATGAGTAACAGATCATGATCTTAAACAACTTGAATAAGTGGATGCATTGGGTATGCTCGGCCTCTGAAATCAAGATTGTGGGAATAATAATTCCTCATATATTATTGACTCACGGTTATATTATTTGAAGGCGTATAGCCGCACGGTTATACTCTTTAAATATATTATTTTAAACAGTATATCCATGCGGCTATATTATTTAAATATATTTGTAATACTCTAATTAAGTAATAATTATATATGAATACTTGAATTGGGTTATATTAGTTATTGAAATTTGAAGTTTTGTAGCATGTTGAGTTTTAAGATGGTTTGGTATTCTAAAAAATGAGTTAAAGTATGGAGCAAGTTGTGAATTTGTTTTTTGCACTTGAGCTAAATAATGTTTTAAAAAAAATGCAAAAGGAAAGAGAATTAGACTTAGGCTCAAACCGGCCGAATCAAACCGTTTTTAATTGGTTTAGTTCGGTTTTCTTTGTGATTTTTGTTAAAATCGAACAAATCCAAATTATTATATTGTAATTGATTTAGCCACAATTTAAAGTGAAATCAATCCAATTTAGAACGTACCCACCCTTACATATAAGTTCAAACCTAAAATCATTGATCTAAGGTCTTTTTTTCTTCCTACTTGACTAGACTCCTTTTCATTTTTTAGTTTTTCTCTCTTGGTAGTGAGTAATGATGGTTTATTATGGCCACGTGGATAGCATAGAATCATGGTCCAGCTTCCAAGCTTGCACTGGTGCTGCATCCAAGCAAATTTCCCTTTGGCCCCTTTCAACCAAATTCCCCTAAATCCCAAAGGAGCCTCTTTTGACATTTGTCAGGCCCAGTTTTTCACTTACATTTCTATCACACCCTTCCCTTTCTATGCTCCAAGTCTTTAATCATCCACCTGTTTTATCATTATTTCCAGAAGGCCCCAAAATTTAGGGTTTTCATCACACCCTGCACCTCCTCTTCTGGTAAGCTCTTTCTTCTCTCTCCTCACAGCTAAGAGTTAAATTCTTTCTCCCAATACTGTGTTTCTTGCAAGTTGGTAACAAATAAATTTCATGTACTAGTAAATTAGTAATCAATTCAACAAATGTTAGCGTGCTTATAATCTTGGGTGTGGGTTTTTGGTTTGAAGTCATGATCTTGGACTTAGAATTCAGGGTTTCCGGGAAAAAGGGGCTTACTTAAGTTAGATTGCTCATTAAATGATCATCGGGGTTGGATTTGTTGACTTTCTTTAAACTGTTTTCCGTTGACTCGGCGTGAAATACACTGATTTTGGCCTCGTGTTGATGTAAATTTGGGCTCAGATGATAAGCCACATGCTCTTTTATGATCATTTCGATACTGCAATATTTTATGTCAATTTTCTTTATCAGTAATTTTTATGTGAATGCTGATGTGCTGCTTCCATTATTATTTTGAACTGGGTTTTTGCATTGTTTTCGTGCCTGCATATGTTCGCAAAGAAGGTTCTTTGGGGCACTGGTTTTTTGATGTATGTGCACAGAAGCTGTAGAAAGTAGCTAAGTTGTCTACAGTCAAGCACACACACGATGAACTAGTGCTATGATGGTGAAATCTTTTTTCTGCAGCAGCTTCATGAATGCGTTTTGAAATGGCTTTTAGGTACATCTTATTAGATTGTAGTAAATTTAGTAGATAGTTTGGGTAACTTAGCATAATTGTATACTGGTTTTTAATTCCTTTTATTCGAATGTTTGAAGTTCCTTGTGATGGCGAGGACAAAGCTTATCTTAATCTGCCAGTCTGGTGGTGAATTCTTCATAAAGGATGATGGATCCATGTCATATACGGGTGGAGAGGCACATGCAGTAGATATCAATCTTGAAACCGTATTTGACGATCTCAAGTTTAAATTGGCTGAAATGTTGAATTTAGAATATAAATCTATATCCATGAAGTATTTTCTCCCAGGAAATACGCGAACTCTTATCACTTTATCCAATGATAAGGACTTAAAAAGGATGTATGAGTTCCATGGGAAATCAGTAACTGCTGATGTTTTTGTCATGGGGAAAGCAGGTTTTGACAGTGAAGCCTTAAGCACACAAAGAAGGTATTTCTTTTGTTTTGTCTAGTTGCATCTACTTTCCTGAAATTACTGCTAAATCCAGTTCAGGTAAAGAGGTATACTGTTGTCATTTCATAAAAAAGCAAAATGGCGTTGCTTTCATGATTTCCTGGCTTTTAAGGAAATGAGGACAGTTCACCCTATACTGTAACTGAAGAATATTGACTGGTGATTGCAGCACTTTTGCAAGTTGCTCTTGCATTGATAGTTTAAATTATCACTTGCAGGGCATGTGGAATAAAACTGGCTGAATCTGTGACCCCTGTTGCTGCCTCCACTACTTCGGCTGCTGCTTTACACTCTAGTCCTCTTACAGCACCAACTGATGTTAAATCTGCAGTGGGTTCTGCAGCTGCCAATGCCATCCCAGTTGTCCCTGCCCCTCTTCCTCTATCAAAACAAACGGGCTCCGTCATGTCTGTCGAAGAAAGAACCCAAAGCCCAAGTGGAGTGGATGCTCCTAGTTCCATTCCATCTGATCCCGTTACTGTTACTGCTGATGCAAATGTCCACAGCTCGAATGAATTTGATATGAACGCTACCCCTGCTGATACTGTTAAGAAGCGAAGACGCACTGCTGCTTGGAAAATTGGTGCTGATGGTCCTACCATTGTTGCTGTCACTGACCATGTTGGGGAGAAAAGAAAAGTTATGCCCCGGAAGAAGAATATTCTTAGCCACAACACTACTGCAGAAACTGATGATGTGGGTCAGAAACAAGATACCCTTCACTGTAAAGATAGTAGTACTAGCAGTGACCATATACAGGATACTCTAGGGCAATCAAATGATGTTCCACCTGAAAAATTAGTCACATTATGGAAAGATGGTATCACTGGGGTTGGACAGGAATTCAAAAGCGTTAAAGAATTTCGTGATGCACTGCAAAAATATGCGATTGCTCATCGTTTCATGTATAGGTTAAAAAAGAATGATACTAACCGTGCAAGTGGCAGATGTATAGCTGAAGGCTGTTCCTGGAGAATTCACGCATCATGGGACTCATCTGTTCAAAGGTTTAGGATAAAGAATATGAACAAAATACATACATGTGGAAGGGAGTTCTGGAAATCTTATCATCCGACTAAAAGTTGGTTGGTTAGCATCATAAAAGACAGATTACTAGACAGCCCACATCTCAAGCCAAAAGAACTTGCCAATGGCATTCTTCAGGATTTTGGGATTGCAGTGAACTATACTCAAGTTTGGCGTGGAATTGAAGATGCTAGGGAGCTACTTCTGGGTTCATATAGAGAGGCGTATAACCAGTTACCTAGGTTTTGTGAGAAGATGGCAGAGGCAAATCCTGGTAGTAATATTATGCTTTTCACTGGTGATGATAGGAGATTTCAACGTCTCTTTGTTTGCTTTCATGCTTCGATACGTGGTTTTCAGAATGGTTGTCGCCCCATTATTTTCCTTGATGCTACATCTTTAAAATCAAAATACCACGAGACTTTTTTGGCCGCTACAGCTTTGGATGGAGATGACGGTGTTTTCCCAGTTGCATTTGCTATAGTAGACGTTGAGAATGATGATAATTGGTGTTGGTTTTTGGAGCAGTTAAGGTCAGTGGTTACAACCTCACAATCCTTAACTTTTGTCTCTGATAGAGAGAAGGGACTCAAGAAATCAGTGATTGAGGTATTTGAGAATGCCCACCATGGCTACTCATTGCACCGCCTTCTGGAAAGCTTTAAGAAAAACTTGAAGGGTCCATTCCATGGAGATGGGAAGGGTTCGTTGCCAATCAATTTTGTGGCTGCAGCCCATGCAGTCCGACTTGATGGTTTTAAAACAAGCACTGATCAAATTAGACGGGTTTCTTCACAGGCTTATGACTGGGTCCTGCAAATTGAACCAGAATGTTGGACAAATGCATTATTTAAAGGTGAGCACTATAACCATGTGACATCCGACGTTGCAGAGACATACATCAAGTGGATAGAGGAAGTACGGGAGTTACCCATAGCACGGAAGATTGAAGTGCTAAGTTGTAAGCTGATGGAGTTGATAAACACTCGTCGAACAGATTCAAGTAGATGGCCTACAAAGCTCACTCCATCCAAGGAGGAAAAGTTGCGACAAGAGACTCTTCAAGCATATGGTCTTAAAGTCTTATTTTCATCTGATACTCTTTTTGAGGTTCACAAGGACTCCATCAATGTTGTGGATATTGATAAATGGGACTGTAGTTGTCTGAAATGGAAAGCAACTGGCCTACCCTGCTGTCATGCTATTGCCGTCTTTAACTGCACTGGTAGGAATGTATATGATTATTGTTCAAGATACTATAAAGCCAACAACTTTCAGTTGACGTATTCTGAATCTATAAACCCATCGGCCCCTTTCCAGCCCTTGGATAGTGACACAATTGACTTAGAGACTCTGCATGTACTTCCTCCATGCATCTCCAAGCCACAAAACCAAGAAAAGAAAAAGCAGACCAGAACAAAGGGTGTGATCACAAGGACAGTTACTTGCGCTAGGTGTAAGGAAGTTGGGCATAACAAAGCAACGTGCAAGGCACCCACCACCCCAACCCCATAGGTCCTCTTGTGTATGTATTGCTCTTTGCATCCTCCATGTAATCTTTGATCATAATAACTTGGATGCTTGTTTATTATGAATGCGCAGAGTGGTGATCAACAGTTTCCCAAACTCTTTTAGATTTGTGGTTGAGTTCTTTTGTTCATCAATTAGCCTATAATTTTATATTCATATACAGCTTTTGAAACTTTGAATTGTCAAGTTCGTGAGATGTGTAGTAGTGAGAATACTGTTACAGGACATATACTTGGCAATCTTGCGAAGGATGGAAAGGATTGCAATCGTGTTTGGACAAGGCTGGGGGTCTCTGCTCCGGCCATTGCTGGGACTTCCAGAGGCGCTTCTGTCTCTTCCCCAGCTTTGGGCAAACGGTTGTTTTTGTTTGTTTTGCTTTTGAGAAAGTCCAGACCTTGATTTTTTTTTAAAGGAAAAAACACATCTTGCAAGGTCAATATCCCATTAAATTAAGTTGAAGATTTAAGAAATTCGTAACAGGAAAGGAGCAGTCTCGTGTCTATGCCAAATTTCAATAACTGGTATACTGCAGAAAATTCAAAGACAAATCCATGTAAGACGAATGTACAAATTATATTATTAATGGCATCCAGAAAATGACATGAACTAGCATTAGAAAATTACACGACCACAAAGTTGCTTCCCCTAACTGCCAGGCATAAAAAACAGTCATTAACTACTTCATACAAACTACATTAACAGTATCAAACCGAGAGTTTTTGTCTGTCATAGTTAGTCTGCTCAAAAGCTTCCAATATTTCTTACTGTGGACCTCTCATCTAGATAGTCAGTACTAGGCTATTAATGGAGTAAAGTTGCAGACTTTACAAACTATTCCTGCCTTCTCGAACCTTGAACCTCAGGCCCACACAAAGGACGAGGCGGGTTGCATCTTTCTTCCAACTTGTATTGTGCCCCAAGTCTGCCATGAAAAATAGCCACAAACAAAAGTTGCCAGAGAGTTCAGCAAAAGACAGGTGCTACCAAGAAAATATGGTTTCTGCCTCAAAGGCTTCCAATCCAATCACCACCTTCCCTAGACCTGCTCTCTTGAATCTTCAACTTTGGGCAACAATCCAAGACACAACGGACAATGTGGGTCGCGTCTATCTTCAAAACTTGTTTTCTGCTCCAAACAATCTGCATGATAAACATGGCCGCAACCTAAAACCGCCACAACAGAGACTTCAGTGGAAGACAGCGTGCTACCAAGTAAGAAAGGTTTACGCCTCAACAGCTTCTCACAAATCTCACATACCATCTTCCCTGGATCAGGTGATGCAGCATCCGTTGTCAAGTAACTAGACCTAATTCGAGGTTGCCGAAGAAAGGGGTTTTCCCTAATTTCTGGGGAAAAATTGGAAAAACAAAGTCAATTCAGCAAAAATACAATACTACAGATGTCAAGCTGCAGAAGAAATGAACTAGAAAATATATCTCAAAAACAGTTATCACAGAATCCTTCCAGAAAGTCATGCTCAATGAACGAAACTGAGCACAAAAGAAGTAAATTCCTATGATTCTAAGTAGGAAATAATATCCTGAAAACATAAGCTCGTTACAAATGCTCCATTACATTCATTAATGTAGCATTATTTTGGTTGTGATAATCCTAGAGCTTCCATTGTCTTAATGCTCCAAACCTTCCATCAAAACTAAGGAACTTCATAGAGGTATTTGGAAGTTGATCAAAGATACAGAAGAAAAAGAGGACAAACAAATATCAAACCTGAATGACGTCTGGACTCAGAGTTGCTTTGAGTAGCCAACTTATAGGAGAGCTTATCATCACGTAAAGGTACTCCTTTTCCACGAGAAGTTGATGTGTTAGCAAGATTGCCTGAGTTACGCCGAGAGTATTGATGCGCATAGTGATGACGTGAGCGTTTAAAGAAGGTTGATCGACCAAGGCTTGGATGATGCTGCTGTGCAACAGAAGGGTGGGCGTTAATTAGCTTCAAAGAACTATCCGTAGAGTCCAGTACAGATGACAGGGACTTTAGTTGTTCGCCAGAATCAACAGAATGCAAAGGTTTCTGGAAAGAAAAAAAAGATTAAAGATTAAAAATAACTATGTGTCTCCTAATGCATGAAAAGGAAGAAATGTAAAATAAAAAAGTTGCAATGTCGACCAGAAATCATATTGGTAACATGAATAGGAAAAGCACAGCTAACCTCTTGTGACAGTAATTCCATTCCCGAAGAACATGGCATGATGTCTGCAAGATCTTAAAAGAAAAGGAAAATATCATTCACATTTCACTTACTTGGATAAAATGAAAATGGCAATGTATCCTTCTTAAAATCATTTAGTTCTCTAACATAATCAAGAAACTTTTTTTTTTTTTTGGTCGATTTTTTTGTTCTGAAGCTGGAATCAGGCCAGACGAATTGGCAGAAAACAGAAATTGAAAATTGTGATTTCAGCATATCTGAAATATCTAATAAAGCAAAACCAACACAGAGCCCCGTTCATTTAGTAATTGATCAACTAGCAAACTAAAAGAAAAAAGAAAAGCGAAAAAGAAAACCCCATTAACCCAAATGACAGAGTAACAAAGAAACCCAGAAAAAATTCGTAACATTGATTAAAGGATAAGCATCATTCACCTCTTACCACACCAAAATTGGCTCAATTGAGCAAGGGCCCCAATTCTTTTAGCTTTATTTAATTAAAAGAAGAGCAAAGGTGGAGTTTTTATCATAATTGATGAGTACAATATGCTATGATGATGCAAGAACAAGAAAAAGGATGGTTTCTTTCATTTTTCTTTGGTTTCAGCGCATTTTCAAAGAAAAGAAAAAAGAAGCGTACCCGAAGGATGAGGAGAGAAAGGGGGAGGGTGGGTCTGGCTGTGATCAGAGGGCAGCTTCCTCTTGCCCATAGTAAACAAAGATGGATATTGAATCTGACGGAGCTTGATGAAGAGAGAGCACAAAGATTCTTTGAGGTTTTAGTGCGATCTGTGGCTTTGCGGTATCAGCGGACACTCGTGCCTTTTTCTCAAACTCAAAATGTACGGTCGCCACCAAATGAAATGTAGCAAACGAAAGTCGAAACCAAACCGTCAGAGACACACACAGAGACAGCGAGAGGGAGAGTGTGTTGTTTTTGGTCGTGAAATTTGGGTAGTTTGTTTCTGATGAACTGATTAAAGCGAACACGTGCACATGAGCTTTTGGAAGGCAACCCGACCCAACCCAACCCTAACCATCACTTCTCATTTCTCTCCATAATGACCATTATAGTCCTTCCCCTTTGTATTTGCTCTTCCTCCATCCATTGCCATTTCGTTTTTGTACACTTAATTATTTTGTTTCTTCACAATTTTGAGCGGAAAGATAAAAATTGTTAGGACTTCATTAGTTGTCAAGGGCCCAAGAGGAAGGAAGTAGCAACAAATTGATGTCGGCCTCCAAACTCAAGCCTGATCATCAGCCAAAGTGGACTGCAATCATAGGAGGCATGAACATCAACAAAAAATTTGGCAGCCCACATAAAGATCCAAGCATTACCCCGCTCTTTTTCTTCTATTTTTATTTTTAAGAAAATATAAAAGAAAAAAAAAACACCATGACAACTATATATTTTATATAAAAATACCCTTTACAAGTTCTATTTTGAAGAAAATTATATTCAACTAACGACTTGTCATTTTCTAGTTGATTCTTACTGTGTTATCATTTTTTCACTTGAAATACAGCATGAAGTTTTTCTAAAATATAAATAAATTTAATGTTACTGTGTTATCATTCTTACTTTAAAAGAATGAATTTAAAACAGATAAAGGATCGATGACTTTTCACGTAAACACCTGATTGTTGTTGCGCCGCGTGGCATTGGACAGATCAAAGAGGAACTTACACGGCTTTCCACATATAGTACTTTAGAAATTCTCTACGTCAATGCGGTCCACGTGCCCACAAGCACTTGGCACTTGCATTCTCCTTTCGGATTATCTTTTGTTTTCAAGTTGGAAGTTGCATGGATTACTATAACACGTGACCTACCATTTTTAAATTACTTGAGAAGTTTCCATAATTTATAATAGAATATTTGATGTGGCAAATAGAAAAACGACATGCCAATTGTCATGCTCTTTCCAAAATCAAAAGCATAATCATTTTCATCTTCCTTTGGCTATCCTTCAATCTAATGGCTTACTCGTTTTATTTAATATAAGAACTCCAAAATATTATAACCTTGGATCTAATTCTCTCTTACATTGTTATTGTGTGTCAATCTAAAGTTAGCAGTCTAAGTCAATAGGGTATAGCTCAGTGCAATTTTTGATTTGCAGACTACAGATCTCATATTCGAATTCCACAATATCATAATTGTGTGTGTTAAATCCCATTTTCATATACTTAGCGAAAGGGAAGGCAGAAATTGTGCATGCATGAAATATAAGGTCTTACTTACATGATGGCACCATCCAATCTTCACTCGTCAAACTTGAACCATAAATAAATAAATAAATGCGAAGCTTTCCTTCTTACAATATTTTAATAATGTTGCACAAACTTTATTTTACTCTCCGATCGATCCATGTAGCATGATATGCAATGCAGCTATTGTAAGTATTATTAAAATATAATAAGATACAATGTCTAGCGTCCCAACCCAACCAAATGCTTGTCTTTGCTATTCAAGACTACAATGACAAATACCACAATTACCTAACTTTACAAATATAAGCAAATAATTTAACAACCTTATTGACTCCTCCATCTCATCTCACATGAGCTAATCTATTCATCTCCTTCTAGTAATGTAATATTCAACTCAACGATCAATTTTGTATCTTTTTAGGAATATAATATTCCACTTTTAATTAAAATTTATGTGTGTGTTGTATCTTTTTAGCCAACAAAATTAATGAATAATACAAATGAGACTAGAAGAAGTTTACAAATGAATTTTATTATAAAAAAAAAAACCTTAAATAATAATAAAAAGTGTAAAGAGGATAAAACTGAATAAAGAGGAAAAGACGACTGGGGCACGGAAGGATTTTGTATCTTTTTAGCCAACAAAATTAATGAATAATACAAATGAGACTAGAAGAAGTTTACAAATGAATTTTATTAATAAAAAAAAACCTTAAATAATAATAAAAAGTGTAAAGAGGATAAAACTGAATAAAGAGGAAAAGACGACTGGGGCACGGAAGGCGCCTAAAATATGTTCGGTGAAGAGTTATCCGAATAAGTTCCATGTCAGCTTCAGTTCAGCTGCTTGGCATTAATTATTAACAATTTCAAATACTTCATATCTAAGGAAATATTAAATTTATTAAAATATATTCTAATCCGTGCACACGACGACACGTTCTTATAATGATCGTGAATTGTAATTTGTAAGCGTCGTTGATTGATAAGATTGGAATTCGCTAATGATATTGATATGTCGTTTTCAGAGATTCCCCTTTGCTCAAAGAAGGTGTCGTTGTCATACAATATCTTTTTACTTGGGACTCTTCATGAAAACTTATTTTTCTCATTTTCTTTTTTGTGAAAGAAAAAGTTTTATTCTATACAAGATTTCTCCCAACCAACATAGGAATATGCTGTGCTAACACTTTTATTCACATTCGTAACAATATTAAGAAAAATATACACGTGTGTTTATTGTCATGCATCTTGCAAACACTTTTATAAACTGAATAAAGAGTGAACTAAAGAACTTACAAAATAAAGCTAAGAGATGCTTTAGATAATGAACAAATAATGTGTATCAAACGTACCAATATCACATTTTTTTAAAGGAAGGTTTAACGAACAAGCAATCTGTACCGAAGCTTACAAATATCACGTTTTTTAAGGCAAAGTTTTAACGAAACCACTATTATTGCATTATTTTACTCTAGTAGAGTTTTTTTGTCCATTATGTATTATTTTGGACAATAGTCTTCTTTTATTTATTTATTTGTTTTCTTATGATTGTTTCAAGCCGCGACTCTTTGTAAGATTAAGCTCTTGTTCCTTATTTTCACGTTGAGTTTTGGATGTTTTCATCATCTCCCCTGTATACAAATATCACTACTTCATGCAATCGACGGTTACGATAAAAAGATTTAACCGTTTAAGGAATTTTTAAGATTTAATTTTGACTAATGAATCATTTCCATGTTGATTGGTTTTATTTATTTATTTTAATTTCAAAAGATTTTTTTAAAAAAAGTTCTTTAATTAAAAGATAATGAGGGATAAAACAGAAACTTCATTACTTTGTTTAAAGAGGTTAATGGAGCAAATTCAGGATCTAATAAGGAAAGCTTTTCTAAAAAAAGAAAAAAGAAAAGGCAAGGATTTGACTATGACAAAAGTTAACACCTCAGACTCGGACATTTTCCATCCATAGCTAAACACAATCCTATAGATCTGCGTCTGCCACAATCACTCTACCATCTCTCTAATATTTTCATTTGTTTTTAAATTTTTTTATTGGCAACCAAATTCTATTTTAACAATATTAAGATTTTCAAATATTAAAAATGCCACACGCCCTCTTTGCCTAGACTCCTATCGCACTTATATATATAAATCCCACTCTAATCATCAACAGACTCAAACTCATTCATATTCTCTCTCCCATCTCTCACACAAACGCACCCACCTCCAAGCCAAGCCCTCTCTGTTTCCTCTTCCTCTGTTTTCTCTGTTGGGTAAAATCATGGGGGCGACGCTTCTCCCAGATATCGGAACCGAGATTCTGATACCGCTGTGTGCGTTCATCGGCATCGCCTTCTCTGTGGTGCAGTGGATGTATGTCTCTCAGGTCAAGCTCTCGCCTGGTCGAGACGCCAACTCAAACGCCCCCGGCAAAAATGGCTACAACGATTACCTCATCGAAGAAGAAGAAGGCGGCAATGACCACAACGTCGTCCTCAAATGCGCAGAAATTCAAAACGCCATCTCTGAAGGTCCATTTTTCCTCTCGTGTATTCTACGTCTTTCTTTAGCTCTGGTAGATCCGACGTCGTTTGTTTTCTCCATTTGGCTCTGTGATTTTTGGTTTATTTATGTGTGTGTGCTCTTATGTGCTTATGTCTTCAATTATTTTATATTTGATGATATCATACTAGGATCATCGTAGCGTGAGGTAGAACACTGGAAATATAGACGTATTCACTATTTTGTACTTTTTCAGATCGAATATGGTGGCTTGTTCTGGAACCTTCACATCAATTGTTAGGACCCACCTTTATTTTTAATAATATATATTATTGTTATCTACATATGAACATTGATTCTCGATAGTGATTGTATTGTATTTTATATGTATTAAAAAATTCATTGGGATCCAGTTTACTTCACTAACTTGTTGATGCCTGTGTGATACAGGAGCAACCTCATTCCTTTTCACCGAATACAAATACGTCGGTGGTTTCATGGTGGCTTTTGCAGTCTTGATTTTCGTTTTCCTTGGCTCTGTGGAGGGATTTAGCACAAGTAGCCGTCCATGTACATATGACCAAACAAAGATATGCAAACCAGCTCTTGCCACTGCCATCTTTAGCACAATTTCCTTCTTGCTTGGTTCTATAACTTCAGTGGTTTCTGGATTCCTTGGGATGAAGATTGCTACTTATGCGAATGCCAGAACAACATTGGAGGCAAGAAAAAGTGTTGGGAAGGCTTTTATTACTGCATTCAGATCAGGAGCTGTTATGGGCTTTCTCCTTGCTTCAAGTGGTCTATTGGTTCTTTACATTGCTATCAACGTCTTCAAGTTGTACTATGGTGATGACTGGGGTGGCCTTTTCGAGGCTATAACTGGTTATGGTCTTGGGGGATCTTCCATGGCTCTCTTTGGCAGGGTTGGTGGAGGCATCTATACCAAAGCTGCTGATGTTGGTGCCGATCTTGTTGGCAAGGTTGAGAGGAATATTCCCGAGGATGACCCAAGGAACCCAGCTGTAAGGGATAACACCCTTTGGAAAGTTGTTTAAGTTAATAATTTGCTTTCTCTATGTTTCTAAAACTTACGTTTCCCATTTGTACAGGTGATAGCTGATAATGTAGGAGACAATGTTGGGGATATAGCCGGTATGGGATCTGATCTTTTCGGATCCTACGCTGAGGCATCGTGTGCTGCCCTTGTGGTCGCATCCATTTCCTCATTTGGGATCAATCATGAGTTAACTGCAATGCTATATCCTCTCATTGTCAGTTCCGTTGGCATCCTCGTTTGTTTGCTCACCACCCTGTGTGCAACAGATTTCTTTGAGATCAAGGCTGTAAATGAAATTGAACCAGCACTGAAGAGGCAGCTCATCATTTCCACTGTACTGATGACTGTTGGAATTGCAATTGTTACATGGATTTCTGTTCCATCTTCCTTCACGATCTTCAATTTTGGCACACAGAAAGTTGTGAAGAACTGGTAAGCTCTGCTTCTTTGGGATAGTTCAATGTCATCTGTGCAAATTTTTTCTACAGTCTGCTCTCTGTGTTGATATGAGGAGGCAGTTGGTTGCCCATGTTTGCCAGCATCTTGTTAGGATGATTAGATTAATTGATACAAAAATGTCTATGTGGCTTAATAATAATTTAGATCAAGAGAAGAACTAAAGGGCTCCTTATTTTTCCTTCTAATTTAGAGTGCTATCCAAAATCAGGTTTGTTTCAGATCTTGTAAAACCTAATGGGTTTGCTTCTGTCACATACTTTTGCAGGCAGCTATTCTTATGTGTTGGTGTTGGTTTGTGGGCTGGGCTTATCATTGGTTTTGTAACAGAGTATTATACTAGTAATGCGTACAGGTATCTAGTTTTCTTGGCATTTACCTTTCTCCCATATATAGTATTACATGTCTTTTAGTCTAACTCCTTGCTTTTGTATTATGCTGTAGCCCTGTGCAAGATGTTGCTGATTCTTGTCGGACTGGAGCTGCCACTAATGTCATTTTTGGCCTTGCATTGGGATACAAATCCGTCATTATTCCTATTTTTGCCATTGCAATTAGCATTTTTGTTAGTTTTAGCTTTGCAGCTATGTATGGGATTGCGGTAGCTGCCCTTGGAATGCTGAGCACCATAGCAACTGGATTGGCCATTGATGCATATGGTCCCATCAGTGACAATGCTGGAGGAATTGCTGAGATGGCAGGCATGAGCCACAGAATCAGAGAGAGAACTGATGCTCTTGATGCTGCAGGAAACACCACTGCTGCTATTGGAAAGGTTTGAAATTTTTCTCAAGTCTGGCTTGCTTTTATACTTTTTATGTCTAAATTCTGGCTGTGGGGACATTTTGATTTAAGGTTTGGCGAGTTCTTTGGGTAATCGAAAATTTAAGACACTCCATTTGCCAATAGAATGCATTTAGTCACCTGAAAACGTTGTCCATCTATGGTCTGAGGAGTCGAAGACCTCTAGTTATCATCAAAAATCAAATGTCACTTCTGAGTCATGTGTGCTTCTGTTTATAGGGATTTGCAATTGGGTCTGCTGCTCTTGTGTCCCTTGCTCTCTTTGGTGCCTTTGTTAGCCGTGCTGGTATCTCAACAGTTAATGTGTTGTCTCCAAAAGTGGTTATTGGTTTGTTAGTGGGCGCAATGCTTCCTTATTGGTTCTCTGCCATGACGATGAAGAGCGTGGGAAGTGCAGCTCTAAAGATGGTTGAGGAAGTGCGCAGGCAATTCAATACCATCCCAGGTCTCATGGAGGGTACTGCCAAGCCTGACTATGCTACATGCGTTAAGATTTCGACGGACGCCTCCATCAAAGAAATGATCCCCCCTGGTGCCCTTGTCATGCTTACACCCCTCATTGTTGGGATCTTTTTTGGTGTGGAAACTCTCTCCGGGGTGCTTGCCGGATCCCTTGTCTCTGGTGTACAGGTAAATGCTGAAGCAGTTGCTGGATTGAGTCTTTATATATGTTCACTTGTGTATAGCTAACTTCCTAATGTGATAACTTTTGTAGCTTGTCTTGCATCTAATTTGCTAATATACATTCAGTTGTTTGGGACAACGTTGAAATAACATATTTACATTTGCAGATTGCTATCTCTGCATCTAACACGGGTGGTGCTTGGGATAATGCCAAGAAGTACATTGAGGTAAGTATTTGATGGTTGGTAAAAATGCCTATTTTGGCTTTTATGCTTTGACTTATGGTCTGGATTTTGTCTGGTTTGATAGGCTGGTGCTTCAGAGCATGCAAGGACGCTTGGTCCAAAAGGATCAGATCCCCACAAAGCAGCTGTCATTGGTGACACCATTGGAGACCCTCTCAAGGATACATCTGGGCCATCGCTCAACATTCTTATCAAGCTCATGGCTGTCGAGTCGCTAGTGTTTGCTCCGTTCTTCGCTACGCACGGTGGCCTGCTCTTCAAGATTTGAGTTTAAAAAGAGTGCAACAGACAAGTGGGAAGTTCCCCTCTGTTGTATGATTCTTCGTTCTCTTCACACTCGCGATCCCTTTCTTTCAATCTCCTCAGCAAAATATTAGTATTTAGAACATGCTGGTTTAGCTTTTGAATTAGTTACCAAAAGTAGAATTGATGAAAGAATTTTTCCCTCTCTTGGGGGGATGGGGGTGGTGATTATGATGAAGCTGGTTATAACGATGTTGATGATGATGATGATAATGGTTCAACTTAGTGAAGAGTTTGGATTTTCTTCTAACTCTCCTTTAATCATGATTATTTATTGCCCAATTTCGTACTTTTTAATAGATTAATGCATGGCCTGTTGGTATGATTCTATTTCTATAATGTGCTCATTCAACGACACCGTCGTCTGGTTTTGGTTGGGCAAATGTTAAGCCAACTCTTGAATTGGAGAAATTATAGTCTACGGTTAACGTTATTATCCCTCAAATTTAGTGTCCATAACAATATTGCAGCTACGAAGAAAAAAATTAGTTACTATTTCAAACTCTCAAAATAGAAAATATAATAATAATAAACTTGTACGAAGGTGAGGTAAATGGTAAACTCGAAAGTATGATCTTTCTTGATGTGGAATTTGGGCAGTAAATGGTAAATACGACGGTAGAACTCGGGACCCTCTCAGCTCAATTTCTTCGTCAGAGTTTTGAGTTCTCCAGTTCCCCCGAAATGTTATCTCTCTGTCCTCTCCACCCTTCACCTCCCAAGCCGTCTCTCCCTCCATCTCTCTCTCTCAACCCCAAAAGCTTCAACCTTTTCTTGAACGCAAGCCTAATAAGAACCCGCTCTCTCCGCCGCAAGTCTCTGAAAATCCAATCTCTCGACGCCGCCCAGCTCTACGACTACGAGTCCAAAGTCGCCGCCCAATTCCACGACGACCACATGCTCAAGATCGCCATCATCGGCTTCGGCAACTATGGCCAGTTCCTCGCCAAGACCCTCGTCGCCCAAGGCCACACCGTCCTCGCCCATTCCCGATCCGACTATTCCAAAACGGCGCAGGACCTCGGCGTTTCGTTCTTCTCCGACCCACACGATCTCTGCGAACAACACCCACAAGTCATTTTGCTCTGCACCTCCATCCTCTCCACCGAGCCCGTTCTCAAATCCCTGCCTCTTCAGCGCCTCAGGCGAAACACCTTGGTCGTTGATGTGCTTTCCGTCAAGGAGTTCTCCAAGGCATTGTTGCTGAAGTTGCTGCCTGGCTACTTCGACGTCGTCTGCACCCACCCGATGTTCGGGCCCCAGAGCGCCAAGCACGGGTGGAATGGGCTCTTCTTCGTGTACGAAAAGGTCCGAATTGGGTCCGAAGAATCGAGGATTTCGCGGTGCGATAAGTTGTTGAACATTTTTGAGAAAGAAGGGTGTAGAATGGTGGAGATGAGCTGCGCCGAGCATGATAAGTACGCGGCGGGTTCGCAGTTTATGACCCACACGGTCGGGAGAGTGTTGGGGATGTTGAAATTGGAGTCGACGCCCATAAATACTAAAGGGTATGAGACATTGTTGGATTTGGTGGAGAACACAGCTGGGGATAGCTTTGATTTGTATTATGGGTTGTTTATGTACAATAAGAATGCATTGGAGACGTTGGAGAGATTGGACTTGGCTTTTGAGGACCTGAAGAAACAGCTTTTTGGGCATTTGCACGATGTTGTGAGAAAGCAATTGTTTGGCAATGCAGAAAAGGCAAGAACTTTGCAGGAGGATTATGCGGAGCAGGCTCAGAATGGAGCTGCATTGGTATCTTCTTCAAAAGCTTTGAGGTTGGTACAGTTTCAACTTCCATTACTTTGAATTTCATTCTTTTATGTTTTTTGTTGTAGAAATGAATTTGTTTTTCTTAGTTTGATGGCTATTTCATCTGCTGTGTAGTTGATGTATATATGGATTCTTTAAATAGTGGAATTTGTTGTTTGGCACTAGTGACTAATGTTAGTGGAATTGAATTGTTAACAAAATAATTTTTAATGGTAACCTCCAGATCGCCAAAAATTGTTCGGTCAGATGACCAAAAAGCACAGATTTCTGATGACAACTCTAGGCTAAAGATTGCAATTGTTGGTTTTGGAAACTTTGGTCAGTTCCTTGCTAAGACGATTGTACGCCAAGGTCATATGGTTCTAGCCTTTTCTCGAACAGACTACTCAGATGTGGCTCAGAAATTAGGCGTTTCTTACTTCTCTGATGCAGACGATCTGTGTGAAGAGCATCCAGAAGTGATACTTCTTTGCACATCCATTCTGTCAACTGAGAAAGTTCTGAGGTCATTGCCACTGCAGAGGCTGAAGAGAAATACTTTATTCGTTGATGTTCTTTCAGTGAAAGAATTTCCAAGAAATCTGTTTCTTCAAACTTTGCCGCTGGAATTTGATATTCTATGTACGCATCCTATGTTTGGACCAGAGAGTGGTAAAAACGGGTGGAATGGTCTTTCTTTTGTTTATGATAAGGTCAGGGTTGGAAGTGATGAATCAAGGGTATCGCGGTGTGATCAATTTCTTGATATCTTTGCACGAGAAGGGTGCCGAATGGTGGAAATGTCTTGTGCAGAACATGATAGGCATGCAGCAGGGTCACAATTCATTACACACACTATGGGAAGGATTTTGGAAAAATTGGGTTTGGAATTGACACCAATCAACACAAAAGGTTATGAGACTTTGTTGAATTTAGTGGAGAATACAGCAGGAGATAGCTTTGATCTTTACTATGGCTTGTTCATGTACAATATTAATGCAATGGAGCAGTTAAAGAGGTTGGACATGGCTTTTGAATCTTTAAAGAAGCAGCTTTTTGGGCGTTTGCATGGTGTTCTGCGGAAGCAACTTTTTGAGAACGCAGATAAGTCTCAAGTTATGCAGGAACAGGCCTTGTTGCCAAAACCATCCCAGAATGAATCTGCACTAACACCTTCTTTGGAGGGTCGTAACATTCAGAAGAACTAATTGTGATCATCTTCTACCTTTTCGGTAAGTGGAATTTAGCTGAGCATGTAATATCTTGTTGTTCAAGGTTATAAATTTTTGTTGTTCTCTTTGTTTGCTGGAAATTACAAAATACGAAAATCCAAACTTCTGGATCCATCTGTTCAATGCAGAACCATTTTATCTTTGCTGCAATTGCTTCTTAGTGAAGCTAGCAGCACTGATACTTTTGTGGTGGGGTCTTATCTCCAATTTTAAATTTCTAGTATTATCCAATGTTTTATTACAACTTTACTATACTGAGTTGGTACAACTAAGTATCTTTTGTTCTTTGGTTTTTCCAATTTCCTTTTATGTATATTTCCAATATGCACTCATTTGGAAGGCGGCTTAAGGAAACAATCGTTTGCACTGTAATATTTTGATGAACATTTTGTAATTTGTCTCTTTTGTTTGAAGGGTTCCACATAAAGCTTTGTGGTGGTGTTGTAACCTGATAGCTGCATCAGAACAGAAGGAAATCAGTGAAAGACATTAATGCTGGTATGCAATCAAGCTGCTGGAGGTTGGCTCTGTAGTAACTGCATCTCAAGGGCATCTATACTCGTCGTAGCTGTTGGAGCCACTCTCAGTGAACAGTAAAAGATTTTGAAAGTTGTGGTTGGGGACTGGTTGTTCTTGTGTAAAAATCCCTACCTGCGGCGGCTCTCCAATCAGTTCAACTGGCGGCACGTCAAAGCAAAATTTTATTTGAGCAGTATCACTTGGAAAAAAGGCCATCAAGAAAGGGGAGCCCTATAAATTTAAGTGCAACAAGAAGTACATGGAGAAGGACTACCTAAGTGTTACATTGTTGTTCATTTTGCTTTCTTTCCTCTTTGGAAAATGTTGAATATCCAGCCATTCTTTTAAAAATGAAAAAGAAAAATGTTTGATGTTATTAAAATAAGGGCCTTCCTGTTGTAAGGAAGCAGGGTGGGATTAACATTATAGAAATCTTAATTTAGGAGCAGCTGTAAATTTTGATCATATGCAAAAAAGAACAAAGAAAAAAATATTAACAAAAAAGAAAGTGTCCTGAGCAAATCCAAGAAATAGATTGATTGTTGAGCTTTTCCTTAGTAGTAGCAATGCAAATATTGAATCTTCTTTGTTGACAAATTAAACTCCAAAGTGCATCCCATTTTGGCAGACTTTTTTTTCTTCATCACAAACATCAACTCAACCTTTCCGGCCAACAGAGCTTCGCTTCTCAGACTCAAAACCCCAGTTTTGAGTTCATTGCCAAGATTGTACATGCTTCTGCTTGGCAACTCTTTGGAATTCAAACTCACAGTCACATCAATCTTCTTGGTCGAACGCATCCCAGCCTTGCTCTTGGGAATTCTAACTTGCCCAACAGCCCTGTCTTCGTACATGAACCTTGCATTGGTAGCATCAAACTTAAAGCGACCAAAATTTGTGTTCTTTATCCTGAGTTGGGTTGTGAAGGTCATGTCAAATGAAGGTGTTGAAGAGGAAGCGTTGAGAGTTTGGACGCTGATGGCGCCCAATCTGAGCTTCGGCGACGTCACACGCATCACAGTGAGTGCAAATGTGGTGATAACTATGATCTGAACCACAACAAAAGCAGAAATATAGATTGCCAATTTGATTCTCTTCTTGCGTTTGAGCTCCTGGGATGGCAAAGTGGCAGATTCTTCATCACTTGTGGTGTGCTGTCCATTAGTAGCTGCTGCTGATGGAGAGGCCTGTTTGTTCTCAGCCATTATCTTTTTCTTTTCTTTACGTTTCTAGGAAGATCAGAATGTTTTGTGGGTTGGTTTTGTTTCTTCTTGAAGATGAATTGGGAAGTGGATAGAATGAATATGATGTATTTATTTATAATATTTGGACATTCTGACTTTTGACTGAGGTAGGTATTAGAAGAAAGGAAGAAGATGTGACTTGTTCCTGCAGGAAAAGCCAAAACAAACAAGTGGGGGTGTCTTTCTTCGTTTGATTCAAGAAACGCGGTTAGCTGACTTTCTCGACTCTGCTCTCTGAATTGAATGGTCGCATAGACCTGACCTGACATCGCTTTTGATACAATGCGAGATGAGAAATTTACTCTTCTATTCCATAGCATCCAATTTGGACATTGAGACTTTTTTCCTATCAAAGTTGACTGCCAGCCGCTCCACAGCTCCATGTGAAACTATCCTCATTCCTCCAGTAGCATAAGCCCTTAGGCTCAGAGTAGAATTAGACTGGTTGGCTAAGACAGTTTGATTCTCTTCTTCCGTACATTAAAGTAGTTTTAAAAAAAAGAAAAAAAAAGTAGACCTGGTTTTTTTTTTTGGTCTTAAACCATGAGGTGGTCCTGGATGGGCCCCAACTATGGGTGGCACCTTTAAGCCTTAACCACAACCCAAACTAATCCCCACTCACACCGGGTCGGCCCGTAAGGGGTAAAGTGTTGGCCAAAGTGGTGACTCCGTACGAGAGCAGGGATCGAACCCCTGACCTCTCTTAAGGAATGAAAGTGCCGAACCACTCACACCAACCACCTTCGTTAAGTAGACCTGGTTTCACTCGGTCGCAAACCAGTTTTCGGGTAAAATCATGTCCATACTTAATTTTGTTGACCCAAGATTGACGATGGCCCAAGCTGAGAAGCCTCCTATGGTTTGGGCTTAGATCTTTGTTACTTTGTTTTGTGTTTGGGCCTTGTAGCCGACCCCTTTAACTCAACAAAAATGGTTGTTGCCGATGGAATAGTGCCATTAGATTAGATTAGATAGATGCTCGAGCCCACCATTTCCCTCGGCTCATGAACAAGGTCATCTCCGTCAATCCCAAAAAATGGAAACGGCCTTTCAAACAGAAAAAAAAAAAAAAAAAAAAAAGTTGGTGGGAGAGGTTCCAAAATTAGAAATTCTTTCATTTTCATAAGCCAAAGCTAAAACTTATTATCGAAAATAAAAAAGGTTGATTTGAAAGAATAAAAAGCAAAATTATTATTTTTTGTCGTAATTAATTTAGTATAATTTTATTTTATTTATGTGAAATTGTGAATCGCCTCTAGGGCGCAAAATCTCCCAAATATTTTAATTTTTGTTTTTTTCCTCAAGTCTTTGGTTCTGTCTGTGTCTTATCTAGCTCATAGTCGTCATTACATCTTCTTCCTCATCCTCACACCCCTTTCTTTTGTCGCGCTTCGTTTTCACCGAACGTATGATTTGCTGATTCAACGACTCAGGGCTTCGGAGCTGTCCGGATTCTTGATTTTGTGTCATGCCCCTTTGATGGTCCGTCTTCTTCGACTTGGAAGCGCAGAGTAGAACAAATTCATTGCAAAATTTGTATGTTCCAGGTAAACCTCCATTTCCTCCTTTCTCAGCTTATCCTACCAATTCTTAAGATTCCAATGAAATGCATATTTTTAGTGGAAAATGTTTCAGTCTTGTATTGTAATTACTTCAATTGCGAGAGCAAGGCTCTTGGCTCTAGAACTAGAAGCCTGAGCTATGGCTTAAGACGGGCTTCTTTTTTCTTTTCCTCAATCTTTTCAATAATCAATTTGAATTTAAATTTTGTTTCTTTATGCGCCCGGCAGATTTATAGAAAGAGTGAATGTTGTTGGTGACACATGTGATTTTCAGTTGGGAATATTTTGCAGGAAGGATGGGGAGTCTTAAAGATTGGATTTCTTCTCAGTTAGTATCCATGTCTTTGGTCTCATCTCGGCCATTGTCAGGCAGTGGCAGTTTCTTTCGTGAGGAACCTTCCCGTGAAGGGTTTGATGACCAAGGTATTGCTCTCCCTCCAGTACTTTGTGGCTATTATTCTTGAAGAGTGATTTAACAAACCCTTATGTCATTCTAAGGCAATGGGATTTTGTAAGGACTAAATGCTTGTGATCCAGTTGCAAGAATTTCCAAGTTAAAAGGTGGAAACCAATTTTCGATCTCTGTGTTTCACCCTCATTTGGTAGTCAATGTTTTTTGATTTTCAGGTGCCGCTCACTCAAACACTTCACTAACACCACCCATTCTTCCTGATACATCACCCTCAGTTGGTAGTGATCAGGAAAATCAGTCTAATCCCTCCCGCCAGCATGTTGTAGTTGAAAATTCTGATCAATCACGTAATGGCTCTGGTAAGAAAAAGATGGATCCTTTGGTAAGAATTGGGGATCTTCAAGTTAAGTTCTTGCGCCTCCTCCTACGGCTTGGTCTGTCACAAAACAATCTTCTGGTGGCTAAGGTTCTTTATCGTATTCACCTCGCAACATTGATACGAGCAGAGGAGTCAGATCTGAAAAGAGTTAATCTCAGAAGTGATAGAGCCAGAGCAGTGGCTGCAGAACAAGAGGCATCTGGCCTGCCTGAAATGGATTTCTCTCTTCGAATCCTTGTCCTGGGGAAAACAGGAGTTGGCAAGAGTGCCACAATAAATTCTATATTTGATCAAACGAAAACTGTCACCAATGCATTTCGACCTGGCACAGATCACATTCGGGAGGTTGTCGGAACTATAAATGGGATTCGAGTAACTATCATTGATACCCCTGGATTTTTGCCATCATCTACAGGTAATTTCCGCAGAAATAAGAAGATTATGCTGTCCGTGAAGAGATTCATTAGAAAATGTCCACCTGACATCGTTTTGTTCTTCGAACGCCTCGACCTCATCAATGCAAGCTATAATGACTCCTCCCTTTTGAAGCTAATAACTGAAGTTTTTGGGCCTGCAATATGGTTTAACACCATTCTTGTCATGACTCATTCGTCCTCTGCTCTTCCAGAAGGACCTGATGGGTATCCTGTCAGCTATGAATCATATGTGAGGCAAAGCACAGATATGGTGCAGCACTATATACACCAGGCAGTGTCTGACTCCAGACTTGAAAACCCAGTGCTTTTGGTTGAGAATCATCCTCAATGTAAGAAAAACATCATCGGGGAAAAGATACTTCCAAATGGACAGGTTTGGAAATCTCAGTTTCTGTTGCTATGCCTTTGTACAAAAGTCCTAGGTGATGTCAATACTCTCATGAAATTTGAAGACAGCATTCAACTGGGGCCCTCAAGTGCCAGCCACATGCCTTCTCTGCCCCATCTCCTCTCATCTCTTCTACGTCACCGGTCTGTCGTTAGTCCAAGTGGAGTGGACATTGAAGTTGATGAGAGCTTGCTTTCAGACACAGAGGAGGAAGATGAGTATGATCAATTACCTCCAATCCGAATCCTGACTAAATCCCAGTTTGAGAGATTGACAAAATCGCAGAAAAAAGACTATCTTGATGAATTGGATTATCGAGAGACCCTTTATCTAAAGAAACAGTTGAAAGAAGAGTACCGTAGGCGGATGGAGATTAAGCTTTCCAAAGAGGAAAATTGTGCGAGCAATGATAATTCTGATAGGCAGCAGGCCTCCCAAGAAGAGGCTGTTTTATTACCAGATATGGAGGTTCCTCCTAGTTTTGGATCTGATTGTACTGCACACAGATATCGTTGCCTTGTTACGGGTGATCAGTGGATTATGAGACCTGTTCTTGATCCCCATGGATGGGATAATGATGTGTGCTTTGATGGAATAAGCTTGGAAACAGCTATGCAAATAAATAGCAACATCTTTACCTCTGTCGCAGGGCAGATGAGCAAGGACAAGCAGGATTTTAGCATTCAATCTGAGTGTGCTGCAGCTTACTCAGATCCCAGTGGGACTACATACACTGTAGGTCTTGATGTTCAATCTGCTGGTAAAGATACAATCTATACATTTCACAGCAACACAAAGCTGAGGAAGCTGTGGCTCAACACTGCTGACTGTGGAGTGTCATTGACATCTTTTGGGAACAAGTGTTACATTGGTGCCAAGCTTGAAGACACCATATCAGTTGGGAAGAGATTGAAATTTGTAATGAATGCCGGCCAAATGGTGGGTCCTGAACAAGTGGCATATGGTGGTGGTGTTGAAGCTACGTTAAGGGGTAGAGACTACCCTGTGAGCAATGACAATGTCAGCCTGACAATGACTCTTCTGTCTTTTAACAAAGAGATGGTGTTGGGTGGAAATTTACAGTCTGAGTCCCGGCTGGGCAGAAATTTGAGAGTGTCAGTTAATGCTAATCTAAATAGCCGGAAGATGGGTAAGATTTGCATTAAAACAAGTAGCACAGATCATTTGCAGTTTAGTATGGTTGCGGCTTTCACAATTTTCTGGGCCCTTTTACGAAAGAAGGATGTTAAAAGTACGAGTCATGAATGAAGGGAGAGTGGATAAGTTTTGTTGCTAATTTTGTTTAAAGAGGACACAAACTATCTTGATTTGGAACAAAGGTATGAGCCTGCTAACCAAAATGTAGAAGAAAGGAGATATGGTATTTTCAGAAACTTTGTTCCAGAATTTCCCTCTCGCTTAAGATGCCGACATGGGAGCTGAGCTGTAGCAGAGAAGGCTAACAAGCTGCCTCCATTTTTGGCCCTAACTAGCAGTAATCTTTGAGTTCATCTCACCTGGTGGTATCCAGGCAAGCGGCCAGCTTCCAAGAACCAGGCAAGCAGTCAGCTTCTGGAAGAGGTTTTGTACTGAAGTAAATTGAGGCAATAAGTGTACAGTAAAATCGTGGAGATGGTTTGTCTTTCTTTTTTTTCGTTGTTGTTGATTCACAAAATAATAAGTTCAAATAGAATTAGCGGGTAATCAATATGTTTATGTTCTATGTTGTTTACATTGTTATTGATTGACCAAAAAATAAATATTGTTATTGTTTTTCTGGCTAAGATATTAACTTTTGGCCGTTGGCAAACTCAAACCGTAACGTCTGTTTAAACACTACCAAACCAATCATATTAACGTATTTTAAGATAGTCTCCCACGCTTTAGATCATTAAAACATCATTACATTAATATCGACCAAAGCCTTCATTTCACGTTGCTCTTTCGATCTATCTCCTCTCAATTCACACACACGTGACGTGAACAAACTGATTGTCTTGCTTATTTATTTTTTATTATTTTAGAATTGTCTTGTGTTTAGAATTGTCTTGTGTTCATGTTCTCTAACCCAGCAGCATATGCCAACTTGAGATTCCCGGCATACAAATGGATTCCTGATTCCTTGAAGGCTTCATTCAACTATGACGTAAAAACCCAGAAGCCCAAAACCACCAATCTCAGAGAAACTTAACAAGCAAATTGTGCTTGCTTACCATCTTCATCTCAAACTTGAAACAATAACAAATAATAATATAAGATTTACTTAACTCTAAATTACCAACAAATTGAATTTCTTTGTACTCTTGTTCTTCCTTTTGAATTACATTCCAAGTTTATAACAATTTCTTCACCTTAAGGCGAAGACCCCCACAAAACCTCAGCAATAATGGTGGCTGCCTCAGCATCAGAAATGGAGGCTTCTCTAACTCTCATTAGTATCTGCTGCTTAAATGCCCTCCTCTCTCTCTGCCTCAGCCCTTCACCCACCTCCAATTGCACAGCAAATCTCGCCACACAACTAGAAAACGGGTGGTTCTCGAAGAACCTATTTTCCCTGCACTCTCTTGTTGTCTTCTTCTCCTTAACCCCACCACCACCACCAGCTACCTCTCTGTTTTCCTTGTCATCCTCATCCAAACCCATTTCCGTCAAATCCCCTCCAAGCTCTGATCTTTGCAATTCCACAAGCTTCTTTATCACCCCCTCCTCAAGCATAGCATCAATGGCCTCCTTGCGCCCAAAATACCCAATTTCAAGAATACAAACCATGGCCATCACTCTCATTTCCAGGTCTTCACGGTTCAAGAAGCTTATGATCTTGGGTATTTCCCCATTGAACTCAATCTCGTCAACAAGAGGAGACTTTATCAATCTTATCAGGGTACATAGCACTCTGATCGCATTCGGGGAAGCCATTGTTAGTAACGCTTTGATCGTTCGACCCATTAGCACTTGACCCACAAACACGTCCTTGTTGAACTTAATCAGAGCTGCTATGGCGAAAGCCGAGTGTTCTCTAATTCGTTTGGAACAGTGAGAATCACAGAGAACAGACTCGAGCAGAGTGAAAACTTTGGACTTCAAAATCAAATCTTGCAACTCGCGGTTGAAACCCTGCAAAACTCGGTCCTCGAACTGATTCAGGAGCTTAACTAACTCGTCCTCATTGTGAAGTGGCTCTTTCAGAGCTCTCGTCAAGCTCTCTAAGCTCTCGCGGTCGATCCACGCCTGGATTTCTGACTCGATCGACCCGGCCAGCCGGGACAGGCAGTGAGTCGAGCAGCAGCGAGTTAAAAACGACCTGATGCTGTGGTGGCCTTTGGATTTCTTGAGGGTCTCGACGAGGTTCTTGAGGGTTGCGAGGTGTTGGGAGAGCGTAGAGAGATGTGGGTCTTTGGAGAGGATGTTGTCAGACTCGGTCTCGAGCTCGAGCAGAGCATTAATGGCGGACGAGTTTGAATCGGCCGAGTCGGGACTCGGGTGGGTTTGGAGCTCATGGGAGGCTTGTTTTAGAGCTTCGAGGACCTTGAGAACTCGTGGGCTGCCTTGCTTTGGTTGGTGGTCTTCCATGGCTATCCGGATCAGGCTGTACTCCTGATTTCCTGTAGAAAGATTGAGTTTTTAAAGATATAAGTAGAATTTGATGAGAACGGATTCTTCTTGTCTGAATTCAACGACCAGTCTTCTTCTCTATATGCATGCCATGCCAAACGTTCTTTCTTTTCTTGCAAAAGAGACGCTTTGAATTTGGGCTTGTGGTGTATTTATAAGCCTATCAATAATTGTCAAATTTTCGAGTTCCAACAATAATATCATCATCATGGGGGATAAAATATTTAAATTAGTTTGCTTTTTAATTGAAAGAAATAGAGAGTTATCAGAAATTAGGTGATTGACACACAGAGATGTCATGTGTCTGCCATTGGAAGTGGAATCTTTCTATGATATAGATATGTGGTAGAACTTAGAAGAAGAACTTAGAACAAGGCCATGTAGGACAGGACAATTAGTATAGTCAGTGGGTCTGGGTTTGGTTGTAAAATCATGGTGGTTGTGTGGTGGTGATGGATGCATAATGGATTGCTAGGATTGTTGTTTGTCAACGTGTCCATAATTTGGCATGAAGACAATGGCTGAGCCTGGAGCACACAGGAAAACTCATGGCTAATAGTAATTAACTTGTTTAGCAAGCAGTACAGTTGATCTTTTGTCTTCTTTTTTATAAAAGTATATTTATTTGACAGAGTAAGAGTAAAACAGACTCTGGTGTTATGTGTGCTGATAACATATTGAGTTCTTCTTGAAGCTGCCCAAGCTCATCATGAGGAGGACAGACATCTACTATTAATATTATGGGAACTTAGGAAGGAAGGAAGTAGAGATCTCTATTATTATGGGCTGCTGCTGCTGCTGCTGCTGCTGCTGCGGTTGGGTGGTGACCTCTACAGTGAAAGAAACGTGAGGCTCCAAATTTAATCCAATCTGCACCTTAAGTTAAGCAGCATAAAAGGACCACAACACGTTGACCATCCACCCAACCCAACCCGCCGTACGCAACGCACTGCAAAATCCAAACTTGAGTTTGAGTTCCTTTTTCTTTTGGGAGGGGGGTCAAAGAGTTGTATATATGATTATGGGGGTCAGCTGAGTGAGCATATTCGGAACCAAAGAGCATCAGGCAACTCCTGATTCTTGAATGAATATGTCACCAACACCCATTTCTGTACACAAGTTGCCATCCTTTGAAGTAAAACAAAAGAAAATTTGTCAAAATAATTGATGGGTCTGGGCAGGGTCGTGTTAATGAGGCTGAATCATTAATTTTGCTTGTGGTGGGGGGTGGGGGGTTTGCATGTATGGCCCATGTATGAGCACGATTTCACCATTTTTGTTGCATGTATGAGTACGAGAGCACGAGTTCATAGTGATTTAGCATGTGTTTCACATGTGTATGCAGGCAGCCAAGCCAGCCCCATAAAATTTGAAGGCATCGAGATTCGAATCTCATTGACTTGTTTCTTCCAAGTCAACCCAATGTGATTTTTTGGTCCAAAAATCCAATGTGATGAATCAGTCCTTCAGTTTATTTGAGCCAATCAAAACAATAGCCCAATAAATTTGAGCCCAATAAATGGCAGCCATGGGCTAGAAATTTGAATGTGAAGCCCAAGAGGTAAGGTTTAGCCCAAAACTGATGTGGATGACCCCAACAGACCCAAAAAATTCATTTGCCTGCCTGCCTGCCTGCCTGCCTGCCTGCCTGCCCCTGCCATAGGAAATTAATCACTTGAACACGTTTTGCAATTTTGTTTAAAATAAAAGACGGTCACATCAATTCACATCTTCAGTATATACTATGGGTATAGGACTACTCCCCTTGAAATTCTATAATTTACCATAAATAAAAATTTATTTCCAAACATGGCATAAAATACTCTCGAGTCTCATCTCATGGGAGAATATGCAGACCAAATAAATCAAATAAAGAATCTAATCTTCTCATAAGCCTAAGGTTGTTAGTTTGAGACTTGAGTTGTCGTCCGATGAGTGATGACGGATCCTTCGTCGGATTATCAATAATTTAAGGTTTTTTTTTTCGTCAAAATTAAAGAGGCCCAGACAAAAACTCCAGACATCATTCATTCATCAAATCAAAGTAACAAGACGATCTGACAGACGCATGATCGTGTGCTTACCAGAAAAGACCACTCCAAATTCGCCAGCTGTGCAGAGCGAAGAATATCTCGACGCAAACACAGCGCAGACGATAGTTTCCCTCTATCTATCCTTACCTTAGCCTACGCCACGTCACCTCATCGGATGCTGCTAACTTACGCCTTCCCCTCCTTCCATTCCAACTAATTATAAGTATATCTTTCTCTTCCCTGGTCTTGTGCTCTCCTAAATCTCACCAAGTTATGATTTTCGGGTACTCTCCCTCCCTCTCTTACTTTGAACTTTTCTTTATTTTTGTTTGATCTATTTAATTGTTAGAATATTTAGTTCTGATTCATTCAGTGGTAAGTGATTCTTCTTCTTCTTCTTCTTGTATCCAGCTCAACTTGTTCTCTGTTTATGCGACGTTTTCATTGTTTTCATTGTTTTAGCTGTTTTTGTTTTTGTTCTGTGTTAATGGTTGATTGAAATGATTGTGTTCAGCTGTAATTAAATTCAAATCTTACTGGGATTGGTTGATTCTTGATTGATTAGCATTTGCAAAGTTTTACTTAAATCGGCCATTTTTATCTCTCTATCTCTACGTACTTTGTTTGAATAAAGTTTCATTCTTCATCTTCTTTGAACGATTTTATTATTGTTAGATTGCCAAATTTCAGAAATTTAATGCTCATCACTCTGGCTGAATTGCTGCCTCTTCTTTTTGATGCAGTTAGTTTTACTGTAATTGCTGAATGAACAATCATGGCAGCAGTGATTAGGATGCACCCCATGTTGCTTCAACTCACTCTTACTTCTTTCGTCTTCTTGAGCTGTTTGAGGAACGGGAATGCGGGGATCACAAGCACTTTCATCCGATCCGAGTATCCATCCGTTGATATCCCTCTTGATAATAAAGTATTTGCTGTTCCAAAGGGTCATAATGCTCCACAACAAGTGAGGAATTCACTGCCATCTCAATAACTGTTTCGTATTACTGTAGAAAGTTAGGCACATCATATATTGTTTTCCAGAATTCAGGATGTGGAAATTATGATTCCGCATTTCTCTGGACAATTTCTTTCTTCTTCTTCTTTTTTTACTCACAAGTGGTATAATTTCCTTCCTTGATATTACTGTTTTCAGTTCTAATGTTCTTGTGTATTTACACTCGTTCATTACAGGTGCATATCACCCAAGGTGACTATGATGGAAAGGCTGTTATCATCTCCTGGGTTACCCCTGATGAACCAGGGACGAGTAAAGTGCAATATGGTACATCAGAGAACGGATACAAGTTTTCTGCAGAGGGGATTGTGACGAACTACACATTCTACAAATACAAGTCTGGCTACATCCATCACTGCCTTGTTGATGGCCTAGAGGTAACTATGATTATTTTGTGAATGTACTAGTAGGTAGCATATGCGTTGTGGTTTTCCCGCATTATTTTATTTTATTTTATGTAAAGAAACTTCATTTGTAGCTTAATCTTTCTTTGAGATTGTATTAATTGATAGTACATGGTTTGGTTACGCATACATTATCATTCTATGCTTTCTTGTATTGAATAAATAGATTATCAACATTCTCTGGGTTCTCCTATCATGCAAAGCCTGTGAGGTTGTCCTCTCAGTCAACAGTGTAGACTTGAAGTTTTTATCGACTTATTGTGTCTCCAATATTTGGACTTGTCTTTTCTCTTGCTTATAGTTTCCATAAAACATCAATTATTTCTTGTTTTCAGCATGACACGAAGTATTATTACAAGATTGGGAGTGGCGATTCTTCTCGAGAATTTTGGTTTACAACTCCTCCAAAGATTGACCCAAATTCTCGTTACACATTTGGGATCATAGGTGAGTTGTTTTCTCTCTGCAAGGGGTCTTATTGATAAAATTTTGTTTTAATTTACTTCTCCATTTTAATGCATTTCTTTCTTTGTTTTAAAACCAAACATCTCAGATGAGTTCTGCTCATGTTGTCCTTGGTTCCACCTTTGGCTCTGCAATTGCGTTCTTTCTCGTACTATCTTTTGCTTCTATTTTTTAATTTTATCAGTTACAACTTACAACATAGGAGGAGTGGTGTGGGTACTAACTAGGCTATTCTGTGACTACAGCTTGATATACTTATATTAAATCATGTTGAATTTTGTTGTTTCCCTCAATAAATAGTTATTCTGTATGTTGCAGGTGATTTGGGTCAGACATTTAACTCTCTATCAACTCTTGAGCATTACATGCAGAGTAAGGGACAGGCTGTTTTATTCCTTGGAGATCTTTCCTATGCTGACAGATATCAGTATAATGAAGTGGGTTTACGGTGGGACACATGGGGTCGATTCGTTGAGCAAAGTACTGCATATCAGCCATGGATTTGGTCTGCTGGCAATCATGAAATTGAGTTCATGCCTTATCTGGTAAAGTATCAAAATCTTTCAGAACTGTCTGAGTTCCGTGACGTACAAAAGTTGTAAAATTCCACTGATATGCATGATGTCTTGTGTCCCGAAACTCCTATCATGTTACTTATCTAACTATTAAATTTTTACATACTCTAGGGAGAAGTTACTCCTTTCAAATCCTATCTTCAGCGGTATGCTACTCCTTATTTGGCCTCCAAAAGTAGCAATCCTCTTTGGTATGCCATCAGACGTGCATCGGCTCATATAATCGTACTGTCCAGTTATTCTCCATTTGGTAACTATACATTTCTATACATGCTGCGAATATGTGAACTGAGTACTTCCCTTTTTAATTATAATTCTTTGTGGTGCAGTAAATAGATGATCGATGTATAGAAAATATCATACTTCCCTTTTTGATTGTGAACTTCTGCTTTAGTAAAAGCACGACTGAAATTCTCCCATCTTATACAATTTTCTCATTAAGGCTTGCTAGTATTCTATGTCTCTTAGAAGGGAATGGACTCTTTTTTCTCTTTTGTGGCTGTATATCTTACAGCAATGTTGATAACTTTGTCATCAGTGAAATACACACCTCAATGGAGGTGGCTAGAAGAAGAATTGAAAAGGGTTGACAGGGAAAAAACACCTTGGCTCATAGTCCTTATGCATGTTCCAATCTACAATAGTAATGACGCACATTACATGGAAGGTGAAAGCATGCGAGTAGTGTTTGAGAGTTGGTTCGTTCATTACAAAGTTGATATAATCTTTGCTGGCCATGTCCATGCATATGAGAGATCGGTATGGTTCTTTACCTTCTATGTTTTTCCTGTTTGTCTCCTGTTATATAATAAGATGTAGTTTGATTTGGCGTTCAACAATTTTCGTTCATGGCTAGGGTGAGATTCATGTTTTTCTTTCCCCTTATTTTCAGTATAGAATCTCAAATATACACTACAACATAACAAGTGGTGACCAGAACCCCATACCAGACAAATCAGCTCCTGTATACATAACTGTTGGAGATGGAGGGAACCAAGAAGGACTTGCTGGAAGGTAGGAACCTTGTTCTAATAATGTTTATTATGATTTTTATTTTGTTAATAAGTTAAAAGGTCAGTCGAAATGCATGATTATAATTTCAGCGATGTTACTCCATTTCGTCTATAAGGAAATCAATTACTTTTTGTGCAAGCAGTGATGACTAACAGTTGCTCCATGGTTTCTGTAGGTTTAGAGATCCACAACCAGATTATTCTGCGTTCCGAGAAGCCGCCTATGGACATTCTACGCTTGAGGTTATAAACAGGACACATGCACTCTACCACTGGAACCGCAATGATGATGGGAAGAAAATTGCAACTGACGCATTTGTATTACACAATCAGTACTGGTGAGTGGTCATACCAATTATGTTTCTGGTGCCAAAGTAGCAAGGAATGCATGTATGCAACAGCCCAATTCACCTTGCTGATTTGGCACTGCACAGTTGTGATATAAAATACGGCCGGATATGAAATTTAGGATAGTTTTTTCAAAAAAAATTATAATCTGCATAATGTGATTGAGTTTTGGTGAATGCGCAGGGGTATGAATCATAGGAGGCGAAAACTGAAGAAGCATTATGTTAGGAAAAGTTTGGAGCAGATCGCAATTTATTGATAAGCAGTTTGTTGGAATATTGGATTGGCTTGTCTGGAGACGCATATAAATAAGTAATGTGATCCTTATTTTGTTGGTTGCTTGCTTGTTCGTTCATGATATTGGATGGAGCTGCCACTAGTTCGGGCGCAATACTTTCAAAGGAAAATCCTACGGCTATTGATTTTTTGTAAAATTTCATTTACAACTGTTTGTTTTATGGTATAGCGTGAGCGTGGTGGTGGTGAGTGCTTACATTATACATAGCAACTTCCCGCACATATTTCACGTTGAAGGAAGTCATTTTCACAACGAACATGCTTGTTTCCGCTGAACGCTAAAAATTCTTTATAAAAGAAGGATCACCAACTATATCCAACCTGATTGATGGTCCCACGAAGATATTAGGCGAATATGGCAGACAGCACTGACTGAAAAGCCCCGCACTCACTCAAGTATATGCTAATGCAGCAGAAACAATTACATAATGCAATGAAATTTCAACTTACAGAAACTTGGATACCGAAAAAGATATGCAAGTAAATAAGGCAATCCAGTCGCCTAAATTCAATCAATCAATACGAAAACAAGAAAAAGAAAATCACCAAAGCTCATGATGTGGCATCCGATCCTATTAACTTGCATTTTCCACAACAGTGAGGTAGGGCAGGTCCTATCCTATCGATATAAGAGAACCCCTCCCTCTCCAAACAAAACCACAATACAACTGAAAAAGATGGGAATGGTAAAGGAGGCCAAAGGGGAAGAAGCAGAATCCTGCTAGCCACTAGATCGATAATGCCATGAATCTGATTGGTACACATTCTATAACTTGATTACATTATGACAGACAGGTGTTATGCTTATGAAACAACTATCTATGTACACCATCTGAGTGTTTTGCCAGGTTTCTGAAACAACAAACTTTTTTGAGGGTGTCCTTCGTGTTCTTTGGATACATCATCTACGGGTGGGTGACAATGATACATCTCCAATTTACTGTTAGCCATGCAACGGAGATCCATCAAGAATCACGGTAAATTGGTTGTGGCATCCACTTAAGCTGCACGTTCAATTTCCCAGATTTGGCCCCATCTAGCGGTAAAGAGTCTTTGTATTCCCCTTCTAATATAACCCTAGTGAGGGTCATGATGCATCTGCCTATGTAGTCCTGCACGATACAAAAACTTTAGACACACGTTGCTGCTTTCACATTCTCCAAACAAAAACTTCAATTATCTAGAATTACTGATATACTTCTTTATTGAATATACATACTTCCATTGAGGGATCCCTCAAATAACTTATTTGAGGGACACCCTTGTAGGGCCCACTCCACATTGTATTTTATTAATCCAAACTGTCAATTTTTTAGATAATCATTCAAAGATCATCTCTACAAAAAATCACTTGAATCCGATATCATTTGACCACTCGATTGAGTTATTAAAATTTTAATACTTTTTTGAAGCACCATGGTCATTGATTTTGTAGGACACAATTGAATGTTGAAACGGTTTCCGATTTGTCTAATTTTTTGCAAGGAGGATCCATGAATGTAGACTTAAAAAATAGATGGTTTGGATCATTGAAAAAAAATTCGTAGGGGACCCTAAAGGGTGTACCTCCAATAAAATTATTTGAAGGATCCCTCAATAGAAGGGGACTATATATATATATATATATATATATATATATATATAATTATACAGTTGGAAATTTGGAAAAAGAAAAACAAATTAAGAACTGAAAAAATAGTACCTTCCCAAAAGTATCATGGTCCCAGACTTCAAGAACGAGCATGTCATGCAATCCATCCTCAACAACAAAGTCAAAAGTTTGATTCCAAACGGGATTCAAGCTGTCATTAACAACCTGAGAGAAGAAAATAATTTTAAGTATCAACAAAACCTATAACTTGTGCAAGCAGATAACCACACACAAGAATCTTGGAGCAAAATTAAACAAACCAGAAAAAGGACCTCTAATAAGTTAAAACATCCTGTGGAAGCAAAGGGAAAAACTAAAACAAGGCAGCAAACTTTACGAGAAATGGAAACTGCAAGCATTACTTTGTAGAAAAATAAGGTAGTTGCAGTCTTTGGGCATTCAAACTCACCCTAGTTTTGTTTTTTGTTTCTGATTTCTTCAAGGTCAGTACCACATAAGGATCAGCTTTTCCCATCAGATCAACAGGTGGCAAGTCTTCAGCAGATATTATAGTAATAGAAAGTACACCTCTAATTATGACCTCCTTTCTCTTCTGTGTGGCTTCCTTTGGATTTTCAGTAGCTTCTGTTCCATTCATCCCACTTTTAAGTACCTTTTCCAGAGAGGTCATTGAGAAGTTGGGAGTAAACGGATTGACAAAGCCATTCTCCATGCCAAATGGACAATATAACAGCTCCAAATGCACCTAAAGCAGGAATATAAATGATAAAACTACTTAAACAATGAAATATCCTTTCAGAATATATCAGAAAAGAAAATACAAAGTGGGTGGGAGCAAATAACAATGTGATCCAATGTAATCTCAAAGCCTACTAGCCATCCAAAGTAGGATTCATACAGCATCTCAAACTTAATTGCTACTATTTATTGATCCAAAGGATGGAAATTAGTTTTCTGACCTGCCCGCGATTTTTATTATCTCTTTGGACTTCCAAGCTTTTAACCAGCTTCAACCACACATCCTTCACTTTACCAGGCTGAAGTTCACTTAGTCGTACATGAGCACATCCAATGAGCTCAGATGACTGAACTCCCTCATCATCATAGACTTTAACCACCAGATGTTGAGTGGATGCATCTTCAACAATAAATTCAAAGTGCTCATTCCAGATCGGATTCAAATCATTGTTCTGAAGAGGGAGAGAAAAACATATAATTCCCTCAAAACCAATTAAAACAAAAGGAAATATATTAAAATACACAGACATATAAGAAGAGCAGAAAACTTACAATAGTTTTGCTTTTCTTCATTCTGTCCTGTAAAGGTCGTATGTATACTACAGCATAGGGATCTGACTTTCCAATAAGGTCTTTATTTGTTAAATCCTTTGCCTGCACAAGTTTCACCTCTAGCATTCCGACTGGCTTTAACTCCAGATCACTAACCAACAAAGTTAATTAGAACAGGAAAAAAAAATGTCATAATTTTAGAGGGCATTCACATGCCTCTCTCTTCTCAAGGTAAGATTAACAAGATTGATAGGTGAGAAATTGACAATCCTCTACATTCTACTTTACCTATAATCCCCAGGCAAAATGGGAACAACTTTGCGAACAGGCCATGCTATTGAATCCTCAATCGCATCTCGTATCATCCCCTGTATAAATATTACACATCTCAATTAAAGCATGTAGGATTAAACAAAATCTGCATCTATTTCACAAGACCTAGTAACTCTTATAGTGAAGGAAAATTACTGTATATTTTTTTGCAAACTATGTATGATAACCCAAATCATGCATATATGAAATAATACCTATTAAGTCTCATAGGATTGAAAGACAACTATATATATTATTTGCAAACCCGTCCCTTTCAACCATTCAGATTGTTTGATGTAATTTTAGAAGCAAGGATGCATGAAACCCGATGTCCGCATGTGAGTTGCCAGACATTAAGGGGAACTCTATAACATCATTTTGAGCTGAGGGCACATTTGTACAAGTTGCACTCTGTAACTCTACATTCTAGTGTCTGTATTGACCAGGTCAATCCTAAATCAAATTTTCACTACAAGCCAGAACATTAAGTATGAAAACTCAGATTCCCAAATCATCATATAAGGTACTCAAATAAAGATCATGCCACATGAGAAATTAGAAATCATAAATAAGTGCAAGAATCAATAAGTGAAAAAGAATTGTGGATTTTGCTCAAACCTCAATTGCATCATAGATCCCAGGTATTGTAGATAAGTCACCACCCACAACTTTAAGCCTAAACTCTAAATTTTTCTGCAAAAAAAAAAAAACACAATCGCTAAATCAGAGTTATTGGTTATCTGCGGTGTAATGCATTTGGCAGGGAGGGGGAGGGACCTGCCTATCTAATTGCTTTCAGATAGCTATTCATCAGAACATCTATAATCCTACAAATATGCTAATGTTAGTGTAGATCTTCATATCAACGGAACTCTTTTTTTGTGTGATATGTGTACCACTTCTCTCTTCCAAAATCTTTCAAAGATGGGTCTAGAAAGAGATAGTGCACCTTTTCTCTCAATGAATAGCAAACAGCTCCAAAGCATGGAAACTCATCAACCAAAGGCTTAAAAATCAGCCTGAATACCCCAGTGAATCCAATATCTTTCACCTGAAAATCAAAGTATAGATTAATTCATAGATAAAAAGAATACATAATATAAATTATCATTCAACAAGAAGGAAACCAACTTCTGAACATTGAAAAAGGCCTCCAGTGAGTAGAAGTGAGAAGGCAAAATTTGTAGATTACCTGCACAGGTAGGCTTACACCAAGTAAAGTCTTGATAGCAAGTATTATACTTGGATTTCCATCCCACTGCATTTCCAACTCCATTGTAATACTGTCACCTTCATCTTCAATTATAGAAATCCCTAATGAAAAACATCAGCTCATTAATGAATGCTTTACAAAAGGTTCCTTAAATGATATTAAATACCATGATATTAAATACCATAACAAATTGGAAGATTACAATCTACAATCATTCGTACAGTACATAATGCATAAAAATAGCACGGGAAGCATACTATCATTCTCACAACCATCAATGCGATTAAACTTTGGAAAGGACTCTATGAATATATTTGAACGAATGAATTATAGATGAATGTAGGCATTAGCTTCGCTACATGATCAAGTTGGACGTAACCAAAATAAGATGAAAAATCAAATATAAGCCAGCCTCTAATTAGCAAAAGAAATAGATAAAATCAAGTTATGGATCCATAACCTTAACCATGCAAATAAGGAATGTAACATATCTTGGTGAAAATTAAGGAAAATCCAGTTTCCAAACGAACACCAAGGACCTAAAAGATTCAACCACCTATCTTCGTGCGTTACATAAATTGAACTAACCTGTAAACTGCGGTGCCACGGTACCAAGAGTGAACTTGGAAAATTTGAGTGAGGACAATATCATTGGTCTATACTGCTCCAGAATTGGCTCCACTGAAGTCTTTATCAGCTCAGACGCTGCCTGCACCACC